GTGCAATAAGGACCAACAAAATGAACATCCGTTAGTAGCAAAAGAGAACAAAAACCAAAAATATTTTTTTGTTGAATACACACCCATCAGTTTCACCTGGTAGACTTATTGTACTTAGCGATAACGTAATATTGAAGCTGTTAGAAATGCTATTCGTCGGAGTAATTATGGTCAATGGAGGATTTGTAGTTGTTACTGTTACTGATGGAAGATTTGTATAGATTGAAATACATTGAAATTAATGTTACCGCCTTAACGCTTGAATATTTTAACTTACTTGTAGGTTGTTGTGATTTATTGGTTAAAAGTACCACTGATGCTACAAATGTAAAAACAACAGCTGCGATTATAACTTTTATACTCATATTCAGTGTTTTTAGTCGTGTTGGTGACAACATTTAGTTGTTTAATGCTTGTAACTCAAACATGAAACGATTAGTGCGTGTATAAATACATATATATATAAGAAATAACTGCGCTATATTATTCATAAAACAAAGTAAACATGACATTCTCTCGCCCAAAGAGGAAAAAATATTGATATAAGAAAAAGTATCTTGTGTATATTCCGAATGCTTGATTAAGTAATTAATAGAAATATCAGTAAATTATGAACGTTAATATTTTTCTTCTCACTTGATCTAATTCACGACTTCATCCATTACTTCTTGTTCAATGAAGATATAGGTATAGCAGAAACCGAAAAAGAACAAATTTATCACGACGAAAGTCTCTTGACTAATATACTTCGCTTGCAATAGAAATATTTTTACAGTATACACCCGGTTCGTATTTACAAAAGGTTTTCTCTGACAACCAAAACAATTTCAAGAATTTGGGAAAAGATTTTTAAGGTTTTAAATGCACAGAAATATCATTGATCTGAGTCTTTTCAAATTTTCAGTTGAAAACTTTGGCAGCTCATCTTATTTTGATGTAAATATCCTATCTAAGCTTCCAAATTTTGAGAAATTAATTTGTTAAAGAAGGAAAAATGTTAGATGCATTTCACTTGCAGTATTGTAATTATGTGTTGAATAGATCATCTTTATGTTAGCCTCATGATGTAAACACAAGCAACAATTTTATTCGGAACCGTTTATTATTAATTGAAAAGGTTACTACCAAAACAAACTTATATAATGTACCGATGAAAAAAGCATTATTGATAATCGATGAAACAGATATGGTAACTCATCGCATTAGGAATATCAGTTTTTTTTTTCTTCATAGGATTTTAACAAAAAAACTGATACTTTCAACCCTAATAACAGTCTAACATTTCAATATATACAAACAATATTAATATCTATTGCTGATAAGAATAATTATCGTTCTTTAGCATTTTGAGATTAACTAAACTACGATTGAATAGATATCAATTAAATTTTGCATGACAATTGATTTATATGGTTTGCTATCTATGAAAACAAAATGTTCGATTATTTTTTTGTTCCTACATCATCAAGATGAAATAAGACATTCGGCTGAGTTGTAGACATTTTAATTGAAAAAATCAATGGTTTGGAACTAATCTACTGTCATGATATTTTATCTAATGGTACACTGTTTTTATCTGACTTTAATGATAAGATGCACTTGAGAATCAGACAAGAATAAATATTTTTTTTCTAGTTATTTCATTTGGTTGATTAAAATATTTACATCCATCTTGAATATGGATACAAAATTAGATTTCCATTAGTTTATCTGCATCATCTATCAAAGAAATCAATTTAATAAGAAAATTTCTATATACAACACATGATATTTATCTCAAGAGTATATATTAATAATCGTTTTAAAAAACAAAAAATAACTTTGCAATAGCCAACTGCTTAACAATGAGAACGGACAACATGCTTTTTCAAAACTTAGAGATTGAACTTGCATTTTTTTTCACATAAATACGTCAAATAAATACGAATTACTATAAGGTCTTCAAAGAATTATAATTTTGCGTACGAGAGTACTCATCATTCAAGATTAGTTTTTACTATGTATATATATGTATACAGTCACTCTATGCTTATTTGAATATATTATTAGTTTCTTTTTTTCTCTTTGTCAATTATCTCGTGGATCAAATCAGAATGTCGACAAATGAATTTCTTTTCATTGAATAATCATTTTTCAATTTATCGAAATTTTTTATCAATAGAAATTGTTATTGATTAGAAGATTATCACTAGAAACTAATTATTAGGTATTTTCCAAAATAGAGTTATAATATTTAGTCATCAGCATAGAGAATGTGATAGACGTATTAAAGAATAATATTTCATTATATTTGACTACATAATGTTGAGTAAGTTCTATGAGTGTTTTATTGAGAAGAACATACAAATGAAAGATTTTCTCCAACCTAAAGGAAAAATATTAAATATGTCTCATTTATTCGAGTGTCATTAAATTTCTATATTACATTCTTATGCTGACATTTCACTCGATCAATTACTATCGGATATATTCTTCAAGCAATGTGTCCGTTTGGTATAAGTTACACAATGTTATATGTTATATGAGGATATAAATCATTACATTTTCTGTCAATATCGTCAAACACATATCACAATTTATAGCATAGATTAACGACTGTTGGTTTTGTCACGTCATACAAATAATGCTAGTAAACCATCTGGAAATCCTTTTGAATACAATTTTTGTTTTTCTATCTCTCTCTTATTCTGTATTTTTATGAATGATATTCAGTATGCTATCTATTTTACTCATTACACATACTGATCATGTTCTATCGACACTAGTCCGTAGAATTTTTTGTAGAGTTCTTTTTATATGATATACAAAACAGAAAATAATGCTTATGCAAATTTTTCTCTCGAAAAGCGAATAAGAACAATACTATTTGAATGATTTAGCTGTTTCTATTATTATCATCACTACTACCGTGATCAATGAAAAAAAGAAACGATGTCGATAAACTTGAGTCTGCCTTATTTGAAAAAGAAAATGTTTATATGGCGCATGATGAAGACAGAATTGTTAACATATATGTGCGTGTTAGTGTGCATTCTATCTGTCTAGATAGAATACGCACGAACGAGAAAAAAGAAGCGAATGAAAGCACGGATGTCGATGAAATGAGAAAAGAGGGCCGCAGGAAATCTTTCAAGAGAACGAGAAAGATAGAGAGAGAGAGAGAGAGAGAGTAACCATGTCATCTATTGTTTGATCGGCAAGATCGTCACCCTATCTCTCATTACTTGAATTCTAGCGGAGATAAGAAAAAGGATCGTATCATATCGTAGTTGCGAATATTATACTTCTCTTGTTGTTTAGTCTCTCTCTCTCTCTTCGCTAGATTTGTTTTTTCCACATACAACAACAATAATCGGTTTGTCATCATTACTATCATTGTTGGACCAGAGCATATAAAAAATAATTATTGATAATAGTGCATGTCAGCAGTTGTGGAGAACTGAGAAAAAAATACTGGAAGAACAAATAAACGAGAAGCAAACTATATCCTAAAGTGTGTCAAAAAAAACGAAATAACAAAATCCATTCATGCGTAGTGCCAAACAACATCATAGTTGGAAATTAGATGATGAGCGTCGTAAACGATCAGCGCTATCATCCCTACAAGCATCGCCAACAACGACAAACAACAACAGTCCTGGCAATCATACGCATGAAAAATTCAACACAGGTATCTAACACTAGGATAGAATGCAGATGTCGATTCATAGTCGGGAAAGAACAAAAAAAAAAAAAAGAAGAATTAGATTAGTATTTGGTCCTTAACTATATCATTAATGAGATTATTGAAGTGTCAAATCAGACAGACAGAAAAACGAAACGATTTGTAGAGCAAGAAGAAAAAATGACAAAAACCTTTTGCTGTAAATTGTCTAGAGGTATACAAAAAATCTTGTCACATGTTTATTCTTTGATTAAACGGCATTGTGACTCTTGTAAAGGATGGAGTAATGACAGCATCAGAACATTAATTCTTTCTCCCGATTGATTACTCAAGCGTATTTAAACTGATTTGATTGAAAGAAAAAAAAACCAAATAAAAACAATGGAATCCACAAAAATACTAAATCGATTCGATAAGAAGATCAATATTCAGCTCTTTTTATTCTTCGATTGTAAATATATACTATATAAAATTTTGTCGATTGTAATACCATATCTATAATCATCAGAACATATATATATTTGTTACCACTGCCTATTATTGAACAGGTGAGAAAAGTAATTCATGTCAACATCCTATGCGTGCATAGTCTACTTCATTTAAATAACTCTACAAATCATCATCGATGAAGTACCACTGAACTAATAAGAACTAGACAAATATAGAAAAAACACTTCTTGTCTTCATGTTGTCCTTCGTCTTTTTTTCTCTCTCTCTCTCTTCTCTCGTTTAATCAGTTTGAGTATGTATGTGTGATCAACTGAACGACTAGCAAGCATGCATCATACAAATTGGTCTCTTCCGTTCTTCTTTCTCGTTGTCATTTCCCGAATAACAACAACTTAGTTTAGTGATGGGTGATGCATCGTCATCGTTCGTTTGTTGTTATTGTCGTTTGCTTTCGATGAATTATTTCTATCAGAAAGATAAAAGCTCCGAATGATTTCTCTAGAGAAAACCCAAACTACTAAAAATTCATCATTTTTCACATGTCATTCAATAAAGATAGATCAGATTTCAACTAGATACAACTGATTGTCTTATAACTGTCTTGTGTATGTAGACTATCAAGAGACATTCAATTATATGATAGAATAGAGCTTGTATTTGTAGATAGGACAATAAAAAAAAGGAGGAGTACGTAGACTAGAGAGAAAGATCGAGAGAAGGCCGTTCCGTTGATTCGAAGATTAAAAAAGGAAGTAACAGAAAGAAAAAGGAAAGAAAGAAAGAAAGAAAAAAAAAACGAGAAGACAACGGAAACACATTTACGGTGAATCCCGAGAAAAAAGTGCGGCTGTGTCTGTGTGACGTCGAACATTCATCGTTTATTAATATGAATGCACCACCAGTAGCAACAAGAATTAGTAGATCCTCAAGTAAGTGAAATATTCTTTTTTTGTCGACAGTATATTTCGTTGTTATTCTTTTGTATTATTATATGAGTATCATTTATAACACGTTATCTGCCATTTGACAAATACAACTGTCATTTTTTTTGCTGTCAAATAATTGTCCTTGGTCAAATGCAATACAGTAGAATAGAAAGAGAGTAATATTATAAATCTTTTAAATAAACAAACACCTTAATGACTCAAGAGAAAGCACAGGGAAAAAGAGAGACTACAGGGTAGAACATGAGAACATCGGCAACAATACAGGAGTATTAATAACACTATAGAAACGGTTACAGAAATAGAAACATCAATTTCCATTGTCGTGCATGAGATCTAGTAATATCCATAGAAATTGTTCGTCTATTACTCGTGTGGTAATAAGAGAAGAAGACGACGACACGACGACGACGACGACAAAAGAAAATGAGTCGAGTTCGAAATTACCATTATCCACGTATAGCACCAGCTATTTTTTCAAGAGCGTCCATAATCCGAACACACGATGGTGAACAGAGATTTATTATTAAATAAATAATACTTTCCAATCTATATCATGACATGCATAATTATTTTTCTCTTATTTAGATTCACATGAAGATTATAATTTGGGCTTATGTGGATATATATTGCTTATGCTTTCTTATGCACTTATATGTTTGACGTTTCCATTTTCCCTTACTGTTTGTCTTAAAGTAAATTTTTTTTTGCTTGATTAAATCATAAATATATAATATTCTTTACTTTTTCATTAGGTCGTTCAAGAATATGAGCGAGCCGTTATGTTTCGACTTGGTCGTATCTTGGGCGGCGCCAAAGTATTTCTCATAAAACAGATTTTCTTAATTATTATTTCTGTTACTATTATAATAGGGTCCAGGTCTATTTATTGTAGTACCATGTGTTGATGCTTATACAAAAGTTGATTTGAGAACAGTCACATTTGATGTACCACCACAAGAGGTCTACACAATTAATACCAATTATTAGTTTATATATATATATATACATATTTTTGTGTAGATTCTAACGAAAGACTCAGTAACAGTAGCTGTTGATGCTGTTGTATACTTTCGAGTATTTGATCCTGTTATTTCTATTACAAATGTTGAAGATGCTCCGAAAAGTACGCAATTACTTGCTGCTACTAGTTTACGTAATGTGTAAGTTATTTCAAATTTCTTCTAAATATATGCTTTATAATTTTGTGATGCTTACAGTCTAGGTACAAAATCTTTACAAGAGATTCTTTCTGATAGAGAATCAATTGCACAAACAATGCAGGTATATATTATTAATCTGATTAAATAAAATATGAAAATTATTGTTTTCGTTTTGTTTTCAGGCTGCTTTAGATGACGGTACTGAAGGTTGGGGAGTTCGAGTCGAACGAGTTGAAGTGTAAGTTATGGTTTTTGCTTTCATTACAAAAAAAAACAATAAAATATTGATAATTTGTTTTCATATTATAGTAAAGATGTGCGATTACCTGTGCAACTTCAAAGGTAAAATTAAAAGCTATTTATTGAAACTTTGATTTCATGCACTTTTGTTCTGTTTATAGAGCAATGGCAGCTGAAGCTGAAGCAGCAAGAGAAGCTCGTGCTAAAGTAATTGCAGCTGAAGGTGAACAAAAAGCATCAAGGTAAAATCTTTTTTTTTTCGATTTTATATCTATGATTTCTTTTCTTTTGTGTATAATTTTAGAGCATTGAAGGACGCAGCTGATGTTATTATGCAATCACCAACAGCTCTTCAACTTCGATATTTACAAACATTAACAACGATTGCATCAGAAAAAAATTCAACCATTGTATTTCCAATTCCGGTAATGAAGATGACCGGATTTGATCTAACCTCTTATTTAGAAACTCAACTATGAAAATAAGTTCAGAGGGAAAATTATTATTGTAAACAGATCTATACATGTATATATATATATATAAATTCAAAAAAAAAACATACATACATATATAAAAAAAATATTAGTTCATTTTTGAGAAAAGACTATTGTTTCTTCTTTTATTTCCGTTTTTGGTTTTTAGTTTATCAAATTCGTATGACGTTTGGTTTTCTATTTATAGATCGAATTAATGCAAACAGCTATCACAACATATCAAAGTTGATGTTTGGCTGGCTCTTCTTTCCTTTTGTTTCGTGAACCAACTCCAGATTATACTTCTGCACATTTTTTTCCTGTATCTTTGTTTTTTCCCTTTTCAATACTTTCGTCATTGCACACACGATATATTCGATGAACAAGATAAAATTGTAATATATATATATTATATATTTTTTAAAGAGAAAATGAATGATAACGAACAATGCAGAACGTACAGAGAATACACACACACACACACATGCACACGTACAACCAGCAAGAATAAGATTTTAAAGATTGTTGTTAGACACGCACATAATGACAAGAATATGTAAAGAGAGATAGAACAATAAACAAGTGTAAGAATAAGTTCGGTCAACATTGATTGCAAAAAAAGACAGATTTGTTTTAGAAACATTTTCTGTGAACAATTGATGGACCTGATTCATCATATTCTTGTTTTGAAATCCACATTTGTTGAAATGTTGATAATGATGCTAAAATTGAACCACCAATCCATACGGAATATTTTCGTTCAGGTGGTGCTATGATTTTTATTTTCATTGTTGATGGTGCCAATGATGTTATTTCTTTTTGCATACGATCAGCAATACCTGGATACATTGTGCTACCTATNTCTATGAAAAAGCAGAAGCCGGGCTATTTGCCAATGTATCTATCTCACCTTTGCCCCTGCCAGAGAAAGCTTACATTTTATGAGGGGGGGGGGGGAGCTTAAGCTTCTCTCTATGAAAAGTTTTAAGTCGAAATTTGAAAATTAACCAGATACAGAACTTCTTTCAGCAGTCATTTTGATAGTAACATGTAAACAAATTTATCTTTTTTTATGTGTTTTTCTCGTATAATGTAGTAAAATGCACTATTCATCATGTTAAAAATAGAGACGTTTGTTTTTTCGTTGTCTCTTTTCTTGAATTGATACAATCAAATTTCCATGTATTTAAATACGTAGATTCTTACGTTCACATTTGAAATTCATAGAAAATAAGCCATATATATATCTCCTTTTATTCGATCAAATCAAGTTTTTTTTTGTGTCCATCAAAACATAAGCTTATTAATCTAATTAAAATACAGTTTATTTCAAATATCTCAATTCTAATCGTTATTTATTTTGTTTTCTACTGAATTTTTATTTCTATTATATTTGTAAACAAGTGAAATGATTTCTGTTCTTTTAGTCTTATGAAAACAATCTTGCCAATGTCATTTTATTATAATCATCCCAATACCATACACGATAAATTGGTATACGAAAAACAGTTCTATCAGTGTAATAAGGTATTAATAGAAGAAAATCACTTGTATATATAAGTTGTCCTGTAAGTCCACGTAGAATTCTTATACTAACAAAAATATATTGAGTTGCTTTTGAACATTTACTTTTTTGATAAAGTAAACGAGCATTAAGTGATGCAAATGATAGACCTGATTGAGTAATTGGAATTGTATAATGAAGAAATGGGTGACATCCGTGTATATCTCGAACATATATGTTAACGACTTCATTTCCTTGTGTTAAATCAATAAGATGATTAGCTGGAGCGTTTAACTCGCAGTCCAAAAAATAAAATATTGTCATATTGATAGACGTTTGTATATGAATCAATTGACATAGTGACTATGAGGTCTACATAGTTTCTTTTTAATGGATTGATATCATCAACAGACGATATATTTTACATGAAAACAAGGTAAATTATTCCATTTTGTTGTTCATCTTGTTTTTTGTAATATTACATCTTGTAACATAAATAGAGTAGTGTTTTGATAAAAAGACGCAAATAGAAATTTTTACTAGGTTGAATTTTTTATTAAAAGAAACCTGTTGTCATAATAAATTTATACTTCATATTTGTTTATTTCAATGATCAATATAAATATATTAGTTTTTGCTATATAAAAAAATGAGTAGAGTCTTCTTGATAGCTGTGTCAAGAGTTATTAATTTTGAATAATTTTTATGATGTCTATCAGCTCAGATATAGAAATAAAATCATTCAAAAATCAATTAATCGTGAATAAATAACAAGACTTAAGGTCAAAGAAATTTAAGAAGTTATTTCGTAATTATAAGATGTACAAGAGTAAGGATTTTCAGTTCCAATTCCAATCTTCGTCTTGATTTAGAAGAAACTATTTCAGAATTCATTTACATTAAATCTAGAAAAAGTTTTAAATACTCGTGTTTTGATAAATGCCACTGACGAACAAGCATTTCAGACCGATTAAAAAATGTGTGTTATATACAGGGTATCTCCAATGTTCCTTCCTAAAAGTTTTTTTTTTCTACAGACAAACTTCAATAGCATGGTTGAAAGCTAAGACCTTTAACCGAAGTACAAAAATTTAATCTGATTTCTCTTTTCAGAAAAACTCCTGAATGATATCTATTTTAATTGCTTGAATTTTGGTTTAGATATTATTTGTTTTGCTTTTATAAAAATGTACCAAAAAGAAACTCTGTGATAAGATCGTTTAAATATTGCATATTGTAACGATTCTAAGTTATGTTTAAAGTAAAAGCAACAAAAATTGACAATATAAATCTTCATAGAAAATATATTCGTATCTCGTTTAGCGAATTTTCGTTTTTATATGAATAAAATCAATGATATTTTGTTAAGGATTAAATTTATAATAGCTGAAACTAACAATTATATTATGATTTTTTTTCATTTGAATGTAAATAAAAATGCCACCAGTTTATTTTATCTGAATTTTCAAATATTGCCATGAAAAAACAAAAAATAAATGATTAAACACATTACAAAAAAAAAAACAAATTGTTCTCTTGACTTATCATCAAAATATAAACATAATAACAAAAGTGAAGAAAAAATTTAAATAACATTTATTTATCATGTGTTTCATATTTTAAAAAAAATTAAGATAAATATGATCGCATTGCAAATAACACAAATTAATGCGATATAGGAAGTTCCTGAATTGATGTATGACCTTTTTTATGTGTCATACGAAATCGAGCTAAATCTTTTCGTGTTATCATTCCAACAACTTCATTTTTATCATTAACAACAACTAAATGACGTAAACCAAGACCTCGAAACATTGAAAATATACGTGGAAGTGTTGAACGCTATAGATAGAAAAAAATGTTCCAAAAGCAATCGATTAAATAAATAATAATGGAATTTCAAAATCTTATATTTACATGTGAAACAGTATAAGCTAAATTCATATACGGTCTTAAATCACAATAAAGTTCGCCTTCTTCATTAGTTAAATGAACACTCTAAAATAAAAACAAATTTTTTAGTTATAATCAAAATTTTGTGTCAAATACAATTTAAAATAAATTTTGAGGTACAAGGATAAAAATTGAAAATGTACTTTCTAATGATTTCAATATGGTTACATATACTTTGACCTATGAACTATTTCATGATATAAAATTCTTAATTCCTCTCGTTAGTATTAGTCGGAAAATCTCGTTGGAAACCGCTGCTAGCAAAGATTAAAAATCTTATTTTTACTATGGATTAAAAACATTAAGAAGAAAATATTCCTGAGAAAATTATATGTAATCTTAAACTGTATTTTGTATTCCACCTATTCGTAAAACATACATCTTCTCTTTTATCTTTTTTGCGATTTGAGAAAAATCATGCTTATTTAACATCGAGTGCTTTTATAGAAACATGTATCCAGTGGAATTAGCACGAGTGTTTCATAGCTGAACTATAGGCTTTCAAAGTAAGCTTCATTCTTCTCGACATAGAAACACTTTTACTAAAGACTAATATTTTTTTTGTATTTGGAATCTCTATTGAATGATTTATAATTTATTAGTCTTCCTGTAAAGAAGTTTTTTCACCTATATGGTATGATAAAGGTCTTTCACAGTGATTTTTCGATAAAAAAATTCTTTTTGTCGGATGTGACTTTTTCAGATTTTATTGACATTTGAAAGAGGAGGAAGCTATATTTAGCACAAAATAAAGTCTTTCTAAATCACAAAAAGACACACGTCCGCCTGATTTATTATATAGTGCCTGCTGTACCCTCCTTCCCTGCTGTCACAGATGTTGTCAGACGTTTTGATATATGACCGGAAACACTATACCAGTAATATCTTGTTATAATAATTGATTAACTTCGTTATAGCATTGCTGAAGAATTAAATAAAACGATGGTGAAGAAATGTATGTCAAAATAGATCGGATAAAACAATCACTGTGTGATTAACAACTTCGTGCTTCATATTTAAAGCCCGTAAGGATTATGCTGAGAGTTATTTTTTTTGTTTTTTATTTACTTCAATTGGTGGATGACGTGGATAACTTTCACGAAAATCATCCATTGTTAAATAATCACGAAGACAATCATTGAACGAAATAAAATTCTAAAAGAAAATAATATATTAAAATAATAATTATTTATCTTATTAACTAACTCGTTTTCTTAACATTGTTATAAGTTGATGACGTAAAATAATACCTTGAAATGTACCAGCCCGATGGTCATTTCTCTAAAACATAAATGCTTTTGTATTTGAATATACTTAATATTAAAAGAAAAAGAGTATTCAAACTTCATCTGTATGATGATCAACAACTGAAAAACCATGATGACTTTCAGTACGTAAAATTTGATAAATATTTTCAACTTTTTCAACAGTTTTTAATTGAATCACTGGTGTTGACATAATACTTCTATTTAAGATAAAATCAGATTTGAATAAGCAAACAAAAGAAAAAACAAAAAATTTCTTTTACTCACAATGCTGAAAGTTGAGATGCAAATACTTCAGATTCCCATGGTAGAAATGGTACACCTAATATTTCAATAATCAAACAATGAAATGAAAGCTTTCTCAAATATGATTAATAAACTAACTTTGTAAAGCAATATGTATATCGAAAATTCCCTTAAATAAATAAATTAATTTTCATCAAATAACTTTTCATTTTTTAATATTCTTACTTCATTAAAATAATCACCTGTAAGTTTAGCTACTGTTAGTACAATCATAATTGGTAGACCAAGTACAATATCACCAGTAGCTTCGATTAAAATAACTGCAAGACTTATTGTCATTCTCATGGTACCACCTGAATTGAAATGTAAAAAGTTTTTTTATTTTTTACTTCCTTTTTAAATGAAAATCAGTTTTTACCAAGTTGTGATGCAGCTCCAAATAGAGCATATTTTCCAGAATCAAAATACTATTTGAAAAAAAACAACATGTTAGAAGGTCATATAGGAAAATTTAAAACTAACTTGAACACTTGACGGAAATATTGTATGCATAATAATTCCTACTAATCGACCCCACGAGGCACCAATTAAAAGAGTTGGAATGAAAAGACCTGAACTAACAATGACTCCATATGTCCAACAAGTTAAACAAAAATAAATAATACAAAAAATTAATAAACTCCATGGATTATATGTTCCTAAAATAAAAACTTATATTTATTCATTATCGTTTTTTTTTTATTTTTACCTATTTCACTATGAAATAAATTTCTAACAGCTTGTTCTGGCGTACTAAAAACTATTGTTGCCATTGTATTATATTGTCCATCAGGACAGTATAATTGTATTGTAGGTGAATTAAGTTCTAGTTGTGTTTTAATCGGTCGACATTCATTCATTGTTCCAATAATTAATAGAAATGCTATAACAACCGTTGTTGCTGCAACAAGTATTAATTCAATAACTAATAACCAGTTTTTATTTATATAGTGATGTCGAAATTTAGTTAAACGTAAATTTAATTGATTAAATAACGCACCAAATATACCACCAATAAAACCCATTAAAATAAATAAAGGTAATTCAAACCACATATATGGAGTATCCTTAAAGAAAAAAAACAATCATTACTATTTATTAAAAATAGTTTTTATACTTTAAAAAGTCCAAAATTGATTAAACCTGGTGATGATAAATCACCAAAATGACCATCAATTGCACTCATAACAAAATTTAAAGTAAATGTTGATGCCATTGAGGCAAAAAACTAAATATAAAAATTAAATCAACGTATAATTTATATTCGATTTAATCAAAACATACAATAAACCATGTTAATTGTTGATTAAAAAAACTTGCACCTTCTTCTAAAGCAAATAAAACACCACCAACAGGAGCACCAAAAGCTGACAACAAAATCTTATATAATTATTAAATTTAAAATATAATTTTACCTGCAGCAACACCAGCTGCAGCACCAGCTGATACAAAATCACGTTTATGTTTATCAGTACGAAAATATTTCAAAATCTAATAACAAAATTTTTATTTTTATTTTTATTTTCTTTAATATCTTATTTACATGGAAATCAATTTTTAAGGAACTACTTTTTCCTTGTGAAATTCCACCAGCAACAATCGCACCGGAATGTATCCTACAATTAAAAAAATACATATACAATCTCTAAAAAAAATTCTCAAGCAATTTAGAGTATTATGCAGTATAATAGACTCTGAGCATCGTTTTACTTAGGATTTATACCACCACTCGATAGAACTCGAGCTTTGAACTCTGCTGTACTCTACTAGGAACTAAAAGCTCAAATGGGTGTTCGGGAAAAGTTAAGTTAGATGAATTTGTGATAAATATATATGATTGTTATAGACAGTTTAAAATATGTAACTGAGCTACATTTAACTTCATTTTTCAACCATTTTGTTGAACTTTCAGCTCAGAGTAGGGTTCAGTAGACGCTAAATTTCAAACCCTATCAACCGGTATATGTCCCATGTAAAACAACGTTCCGAGTGGGTTAGAGAATATTTTACTAATACCCAAAAAATTTATAACTATTTCTCACATAGGTCCTTCTTTCCCAACGGCTAATCCACCAGATACAGCAAATATAACACTTAAGACTTTAGCAATTAATGTTTTTAAACGAAGTACATGTGGAACAGCAACACCATTAAGATAACATTTAACTTGTGGAATACCTGAGCCACGTGCAACTGGCTATTTAATAATAAAATAAATGAAAAATTTGATTGATTTATTTTGTTTAAAATAATTACCTCCCAAAGAATAAGAAAACCTGCAACAAGAACCATGCATATGTTTATACCAATCCATGCTAAATATGGTTTAAATAAACAATGTTCAGATAAACATATATCTAATTTATTTTGTACATAACTAAATTTAAATTTTGTTAAATTTTTTACTGAAAAATCAACAAATACAGCTATTAGTCCTGTACATATGCCAATTAATAACATAATTAACCATTTTAATATAATTAAACGACGTGTATATCGATAACCTAAACGTTTTTCTTCCATATGAGCAATTTCACTTTCATCACATTCATAATCAAGTGATTCATAACGACCAGACAATAATTTTTCACCAGTGGCAAAAGTTGTACTTGAAGATGTACGTGGATGAGAATCATTTGTTGTTATATAGGAATGGAGAGAAGTGTACGTATGCTAGAAAAAAAGGAGCGTTTCAAGATATGTGCAAGAAGAAGTTGCTTTAAATTTCATACGTGACGATTATCATCGTCCAATAATGGTTCATTTTCATCGTCAGTCATCTGAAAACATGCATAAGAAGTTGAACAAAAAAAAATTCTTGTCTTTTTTTTTTATAATGTTATTTTGTTGAAAAACAAAAAAAAAAAACTTTTATTTAATTTATTTCTTCACTAAACAAATGACATCTTCATTCTGTAAAACTTGTGAAAGACCAACACGTTGTGGTGAAAATTTCACTGAAGTACCCTAAAAAAGAAATTCCAAAAGAAAGAACAAATTATTATTTTAAATTATTGAAGACATTTTTGTAATCATAAATAAAGAATTCCTATTACTCTAAGGAAATTAGAATCTGTGGTTTAAATAACATTAAAACCCGAGAGATAGAAACAATATCCATAAGGAACAAAATGAAATGTTTTTTTTTTACCCAAACAAGTGCATATTTAAATTGATCAACCAATGTTCGATGAACTATACGACACTAAATCAAATAAATAAAAAACTTTTAATTAAAAATGTTTATTAAACTTACGACATGTTCAACAGTTGTTCCATTTCGAATAATTAATCCTCCTTCAAAATCAGGTTTTTCACCACGTTTTTTTGTATAAATACGTATTAAATTTAATAATTTCCATATACTTTCAAGCATATAATCAATGTTTAATTTCATATTACAACTTCAAAAAAAAAAAAAATAACATAAATAAAAATCTATAATTTCTTTTTCTTTTGACAAACCTAATAACAACTGAATTTGGTAAGTGAGCAAGTCGATCAACTTCTTCAATTGATACTTGATCAATTTTATTAAAAACCTAAAAATGAATAAATCTATACATGAATATAAAGTTTACTTATTTACATAAAGACATGGCATATAAACACGTCGACCAACAACAACATCAATAAATTCATCACTTGTGTAATCATCACGAAAAAGAACTTGTGCATTAAATATTTTATACTCATGAAGTATTAATTGAATCATTTTTTCTGAACATTTTGTCATTGGTACTGTACTTGTTATATTAATACCACCAGTTTTTTTTGGCTATGTTTAGTAAAATTAAATATAGATTCATATCGATTTTTTGACTTACATTAATACCTTAAAATATATCTCTGGTTTACGACTATTTAATCGAATACCAACACTTTCAAGTTCATCTTCAAGAATTTCCCTATATTAAATAAAGAAAAAAAAAAAAAGATTTTTTTTTTTTTAGAAATAAATAAACTGAACATCATAAATGACAAGAATTTTTACTGAATTATTATTCGACATCATATTTTCTTTTTCTTTTTAGTATAGTAAATATCTTTATTTGAGTAGTTGTTTATATTAGTGATAAAGTTGACGAATAAGAAATAATTTTACCTTTGTTTTTCACCTTTCGTTGCGTCTAACATCATTAAAACCATGTCAGCCGTACGAGCTACAGCAATAACTTGACGTCCTCGACCTTTGCCTATTATTTAAACAAGTATATTTCCTTTCCGAAAAAGAATTTTGAACACAAACCTTGAGCGGCTCCTTCAATGATACCAGGTAAATCGAGTAATTGAATCTATAGTTGAATATCAGGAAGTTATCGAAATTATTCGATATTCAATTACACATACCTCAGCACCATTATACTAAAAAATAAAAATAAAATAAATATATAATTACATTATTGTTTCTTATTTGTCTATGGAATAATTACTTGGATTACACCAGGAATACACGTTAATGTTGTAAATTCATATGAAGCAGCAGTTGATTCAGTACGTGTAACTGTACTTAATAATGTACTTTTTCCGACTGATGGAAAACCAATAAGAGCTATACGTGCATCACCGGATTTAACGACATCAAAACCTTCACCCTATAGAATTATTCATACAAAAATATTAAAGGAACTATTTTTTTGGTTTTTTGGATTTGCATTTATCGAACCTTGCCAGAACCACTCTTAGCATCACCTTCCATTAATGCTTGACGAAATTTTGCTAATTTTGCTTTTAATAAACCCAAATGGTATTCAGTTGCTAGAAAACAACAAATCTTTTTATGAATTAAATTATTATAGATTGTTATATCAGTACCCTTATTTTTTTGTGTTCTTGCTATTTCTTTTTCAATATCGGCAATTTTTTCAAGAATACCCATTTCTTTATTTTTATTTAGTGAATTTTAATCTGAAACAATAAATACATTCTGTATAAACTGACATTAAAATTTCTTTTTGTTTTTCAATTAGAAAAGAATATAGATGATAATGTTCTATTTTTCATAATGTTTATTCATTTAAGTGTTATCTATTTTATTATCGTGTTATTGTTTATGATGATGTGATGGGTAATCTTTCTATACAATGGCTATCGTCGTTGTCGTTCTACCGTAAGCAAAAGCACGTCTTTTACTATCGAACATGACTAAAGACTAGCTCACCCTCATTGTCTTCGTATGTCTATGCACACTCACCACCCTCGTTTGCGTTCTTCAATCCGTTGCGTCTTCTTCATTGGTTCGAACGTTCGCCTCGAATGTCCTTATATGGCAATACAAATAGAATTTCAAGCTGACGATGAATAAGAAGAGAGAGTGAGAGAAGGAACACTACATTCGTCTGTGCTTTGTATATAAGTCGAAACAAAGCAGCAAACTATCTTCATTTCAGGCTATTCTTGTCTAGAATTCTTACACATACACATACTTTTTATTCAACAACATTCCTATTTTTAACAGTAAACAGCAAACATGTGTGACGACGATGTAGCAGCACTTGTTATTGATAATGGTAGTGGTATGTGTAAAGCTGGATTTGCTGGTGATGATGCTCCACGTGCTGTATTTCCATCAATTGTTGGTCGACCACGTNATAGGTAGCACAATGTATCCAGGTATTGCTGATCGTATGCAAAAAGAAATAACATCATTGGCACCATCAACAATGAAAATAAAAATCATAGCACCACCTGAACGAAAATATTCCGTATGGATTGGTGGTTCAATTTTAGCATCATTATCAACATTTCAACAAATGTGGATTTCAAAACAAGAATATGATGAATCAGGTCCATCAATTGTTCACAGAAAATGCTTTTAAACAAATAAATTCTTTCTTTGTTGTTGTTGTTGTTGTTTATCGATGTGCTCAACACTGTGCGCCTATGTGTGTGTATATTTTCCTATGTGTTGTGTATTTATTATTGATAGACGTGCTTTTTTTTGCTCTTTTATTCCAACTTGTTTTTGTGATTCCAAAGATTTTCTTTATTATTAAATCATTCAGATGAAACATCATCCTCAAAAATCTACTTTTTTTTTTCTCAATTTAAAATATGAATTATAGAACCGACTAAAACAGATTCTATGACGACGTAATAGAATGAAAATTACGAGGTAACACAATAAATAAAATTTAACTTACATGAACTAATATTCAGCTATGTCATATTTCACAAGCTGAAATAAACTCACATGGACACATTATATTATCTATACGAATGTAAATGACACCAACAATTTTTTCTCTCTTTTGACAAGGTAGTTTGTTTTTTAGAGGTTAATATTTTCGTTTGTTTATTATTATTTATACATAGAACATAGCGCTTTTGTCTTCTGATTGGTAGTAAAAAAGAAGAAGTATTACATATACAACCAAAATAATGGCGACTATGGATTTCGTAGTAAAACATTCTTAAAAAGTTCATTTTTTGTTTTTGTTTTTACTTCTTTAAATCGAACTGTTGATTATGAATGATAGTTGGTATAGTAAAACAAATGAAACAATTATTCCGGGTAATCCAGACCGTATAACAGCTCGATGGGATCCATTACAATATTTGAATTTGGCTAAATATCTTAAAGTATTTAATGAATATCCACGAGATTTTAATCCACGTGTACATGGACCTTATTGTCCATGGCGTTATTATGGAAAACGTTAGTTTCTCAAAAAAACAAATCCCTTTTCTTATTCCCATTTTGATATTGTATTTTTGTTTTGTTTTGTTTTAAGGTGATCTTCACTTTAGTGATGTTAAATTAGCTGATATTCCAACATGGATTGCTCGACGAGATAAAACGCCCATGGGAGTTTATCAAGGCGGTATTCGAAGTAAGTTTTATTATGATTGAATTAAATACAAAAATAAACAAATCAAATAAAATATTTTTTAGCTTTTTGGAAATTTTATCGTGCTTTTTTGGATAATAAAAAACCAAATCTTATTTGGTATACACAAATATTTGTTGTTGCTTCATTAATTAATTTTGTTTTCTTTGCTATGCCTGATAGAAGTATAGAATTTCTATTTAAAATCTCTCTTATTATATGTATACTTTTCTTTTTAGAACAATATAAATGGGCGAAATATCATTGAACATATGTTCGATTTAAGAAGACAATTATTATTATTATTCCTTTTTCTCTTTGCCAGTCCTGTCTTCTTTATTTTTTCTTTGGAATAAAAATTTAGGAAGTTGAACAATTACTTTTTTTTTTTTTTTTTCGTTGATTTGTCAATGGATAATTTCCTCCTATGAGATCAATTAAGAAAAAAAAACCATCAAATAAACGACAGGATATTGAAGAATATAATTTATTCAATTAGATTAAAGATTACTACTAATAAGGAAAAAACAAGCGATCGACTTATATGTACTGGTTTATCAAGAAGGACTTGTATATGGTTGTAGATTTTGCATTGTGTTTTAGAATTTTTTGTTTATTTTATGATTTGTAAGTTTCTTGTTGATAGTTCAGAATAAGATCAAATACGATGGTTAGCACGATTTGATGAATCCATTAAGAACATTAGCAGCTGGAATAGGTTTTTTTTGTCCCAAGTCAGACTTGAGGCGAAGAAAAGAAAAACTAGGTCTCGAATGCCCATTTTGCTGACTAATGCAAAAAGAATGACGACTAAATAAGAAATGAACGAAATGAAAAGTGACAGTTTCTCAATGAAGAATATTGCTTTTCAACCTTTTCTAGTCATAATTATGCCGTTTTATTGCAATTTTCCGATGTTCGGAATCATCACCATTGACATAGATAAACGATTCAAGTGATGCTATATTTAAACAAATTTACCGTTATGTTTACAATTACTAATGATAGATTAAATAATTTATTTTAATCGCAAATATTGATTAAATCCTAATCAGTTGACAATATACTTATTCCGATTACCTAGATCGAACTATCTTCAGATGAATATCGAGAATTTCATATTTTTTACATATATAGTGTCGAAGTTATTGAACATCAACTAAACAATAAATAATAATCAATTGATTGAAAATAATTATAAACGAAGCATGTAGCTGTAGTCAAACTTATGGTTTAATAAGTATACACTTGGTTTTATAAGAATAAATTAGTATTGTATGATCTCATCGAAACAAATACAGAATTAAATTGTGTTAACATTTTAGATTTTGTTGTTGTCAGGTTCAGATACCATTGCCACCTGTCATTTGGTGAAGTCAAACCTTAAGATGCAGTGTTCTAATTTGAAACAAGAGTCAAAATGATACATAATACAACAATAAAGAACATACATATGAACAAAATTAACCTTCTTGTTAATATCTCGACCTATATCGAGACGTACTAAAGTCTAAGTTTACTTAATTTACTAATTTTTATTGTGTTTCGTATTTATTTATACCTCAATCTTACATAAATAAAGCCACTAAGGTGATTTAAAAAAAACCGATTATAATAAATTGACAGGGAAGTTGATTAAGATTATGATTAGTAGATAAGAAAGAGATAGTAGTGAGATGTGACCAAAAAAAAAAACTAACAAGCTATTTTTCGAATTCATTTTTTTAGTTTTTTTGGATTTATTGAAATTTATCGTTCGATAGTATATTGCACATTATAACTTATCTCTTACCCTCATTTTTGTTTATCAAATAGTCAAACAAATATCGATATTTCTAACGAAATGCTCTAAGGTCTTGAAAAAAAACGACTTCCAATAAACTTCTGATTATCAATAATATCCACATGAGTTATTTATCTCTATCAGTCGACTGATTATCATTGATTATTTAGTTTATGTTCAATAATTTCAATATATTGTATAATCTATTGCATAAATAAGCAAATGTTCTAAATCGTACACTGCTTTCTTTTTCTATAAGGCGATTTTTGTTTTCGAAATGAAAAACCAATGCGCAATATAGTGATGTACTTGACAACTAAGTGAAATAATGTATTACTTGAATAATCTCTTTATTTTGTTATGTCTTTTATCAAGTATTTCATGTTCCATTGATAAGGTAGATTAAATTTCATTTGTATATTATTATTAATATTTATTAATATAGAATTTTATTCAAAAACAAAATGATGTAATGAAAGAATTTTTTTCTATATGTATTGCATTGATAATAATTGGTTTTATTATTGGATCGATTTTATTAACTATTATTTTACCAATTATAGTTGATCCATTCGTTGGTGATGATGATCAAGAATCAATAAATTCTTTGTATGAAAGTCAAACAAATGACCAAAAATCAAAAATTGAATCAGATGATTCTTTATCATTAACAGACAATGATGATGATGACGACAAGAATATTATTGAACAAGATACAGATGAAATATCATCCTTTTAAGAAATATATTTAACTAATATATTAATATTTCAAAATCGATCTAAACAAAATCTATTAATAAAAATACTGAGTTTTAGTTATAAAATTCGTGACAATATTGAGATTTATTAATTTGAAAATATAATGATGAACTGGAAATAATTTTCTTATTGAATACAAATGTAATTTCTACTTTTTTTTTCCTAATTCGATTTCTATGCATTTGCTAACAATATCGAAGACAAATAACAAAATTTCTTCATTACTCGTCCATAAAAAGTTCTAAATTCTTCAGTATGAATTTACAAAAATTCTACCATTAATCACAGAGATACATTCAATTGGTAACTGTTAAATCAAATTTTTTTTTTTTTTTTTTTTTTTTTGTTAGAAGGACTATATTAGAGAATGTATCGACTAATTTAAAACTGCGAAAATATTCATGATTATTACAGAATTAATAGTTCAACATCTTGAGGACATTTACTTTCGTCAAACTGTCAAATCTCACGAGAAGGGAAACAATTTTTCTGATATCCATTTTCTAAATAAATACATAAACATATATTTTAATAACTAATTATCTGTTCAATCTGAAAATAGCTTCTCGTTAATCATATAGGATGCATGACAACACTTCCGATTTCGAGCACGCAAGTCAATTATTATTACTATTGTTTGTATATAATCAATATGCACGAAGCTCCTTTTGGAAATAAAAAATCGCTTAGATTTTCATTATGAAAAGATCAATAATATATTTACTAAAAATAGAAAAATAAGAATTTTTTACTCGTTAACTTGATTAAATATTTCCATACAACTTATGAATAGGTCAAGTTATTGTTAGCAATCTTGTAAAATTTATTATTTTCGCTGCTTTTTTATTGGTACGTGTTAATATATCTTTTATTTCAAGTGACAAATTTCATACAGTAGAAACACAAAAAAAAACCATTGTCTCTCTTTTATTTTTGTATTTTAGAAGACTTCATATTATTAACGACAACATTCACTCTTTAATTAAATTATAACCTTAGTACGTAAATGTATAGACAACGATAGAAAGAAAGTAACAATATTTGTATAAGTTATGTCACATTTAAATCTTAATGAAACAAAAAAGATTAAAATCTATTCCGCTTTAATCAATCAAAAACAGATTGTTTGTCTTTCATGTTGAAACAATAATAATAATAAGTTAATATCTAATATGAATAGAAAAAAGAAAGTCCTTCATGCATGATTATTCCGTTAATAAATAATTATTTACTGCACATTGAACTATTCACAAAAGAGGTTGAAGAAAAATATAAACGAATGCATGATAAAAAAAACTGCGAACTTATTTCACATCAGATAATCCTTTTTTTTTGTTTTATATTTTTTCTTAAGTTTTTAAAGATGTCTTTAGTAACAAAATACCAATATTATTATTCTTTTATATACTTAAGACAAAAAGAAAAACTGACAAGAAAATGTTCTATTTGGTTGAAACATGCGTAAAGAACTGAGAGAATATTATTAAAGGAAGTTTTTTTCTTTTTGCTCTATAATTAATAAATGGATAATTATCTTACTTATATAGCACTCTACTAAAACTATGTTGAAGTGGAAAAGAAATTACATGAATAGATCCGATTATAAAATTGAGAGAGAGAGTGAGACAGAATCTAAATAGATTAACGTGTAAGGAATTCTATAGATTTTGTTGTTTAATGATTTCATACATTATCTTTATTTAAATGTAGTGTTATTTACACTTTTTTGGTTTTTTTGTATTGTAAAACTGGAAACACAAGAAAACTATCTAATTGCTTTCGGCATTTACTACCAAATTCGTTCGTCAACAAGAAAATGAATCCCAGATGATTAGACTAGTATTATCTTTTCATCATCATGCAAGTTAAGTTAATTGCAAAAAAAAAAAAAAAAAAAAAAAAAGAAAATTCCTTTTCTTGTTCTCTTTTTTCTTCTCGAGTTACTCTCAATATTTTTTTCAAGGAAACATAATAACTATGCAATGTTACAAGTGCTTATTGAATTAGTAGGTGTATGCAAAAATTGAAGTAATATTCTTATAAATAAAACAGAGGAAAAAAAGATAAGACGAAATTGAACGTGCAAATTGCAACAGTCTAATGCATGTCATAAAAAGTAAGAATGAAGAGAGGCAAAAAAATGTGCTGTATGCCAAGCAGATAGACCGAGACAAAACGGAAAGAAAGAAAAAAAAATAGAGATTTTTCCTTTTTTCACAGCTGCTTTTTTTTCTTGGGTTGTCGTCTTCTATCTATTGCTATTTATATATATGTTTCGTCTGATTTTCATGAGCTTTTCCTTTAAAAATGTCAGTCCATGTTGATTGAACACGCACATCCTATTAGTATGTCTATGAATTCTTGATCCACTCATTAACCATTATTTTCTATCGTATGTAACTTAACTAAGAATTCAGATCGTTCACGTCAATGACATCGGGCGTGTCTGATGAATTAGGTTCATTAAAACTGAATGATGATCGAGCACGTTTACCAACAAATTCAACTTCTCGTCGCAATTATGCAACTGGTCAAAATCAACGTCATAGTTTAAGTTCAAGACGAGCAGTAACTGTTGATCATGATAATCGTGAAGAAAAACTTCGTATTGTTGTACTTGGCGCTACTAAAGTTGGTTAGTACTTGATCGAAATTTTCTGAGCAGAGAAATGAAAAAGCTTACAGATAATCTTGCCTTCACTTTATGAAAATATTTTCTCATATAGTACCATTCATAACATAATTACAGATAGACAATAATGAAGAAGCAAATTTAAATTATTTTAGTAATTAAATTCTTTCTTTCTTGTTTTGTTTTCTTATAGGTAAAACATGTTTATGTCAACAATTTTTACAAGAAAAGTTCGTAACTGATCATAAAGAAACCGTTGATGAAATGTATAGTGCAGAAATAGCGCTTTCTGATCGTCATATTGTACTGGAGATATTAGATACAGCTGGTATTGACGAATTTCCTGTCATGAGGCGTCTCGCTATAGCACGTGGTGATGCATTTCTTATTGTTTATGCTGTTAATGATGCGTATTCATTTGGTATAGCTGAACAAATGCGTCAACTTGTTCTTGAAGTCAAACATGACTTGACACCAAATTCTATACCAATGGTTATTGTTGGAAATAAATGTGATGTTGATACTAATTTACGTGAAGTAAGTCGAGACTATGCTGACAATATTATACGTGATCAATGGACACTAGATCATATTGAAACAACATGTCATGAACGTGAATCTGTACTTAATGCATTTCATCGTCTGTTACATATGGCTAACATAAATATAATACATAATCCTGATTTAACACGTCGTTCATCCGATCCAAATATATCTGCCCATAAAGAACAACGTACTAATAATAAACGACAAAGTTGTGCACAACAATAATTTATACAAAATAATATTAATAAACATTTTGAAATAGTTCGTTTTTTTTCTTTTTTTTTCTTCTTCTATGCTTTAAAACAAAACAAAAAAGCACAGCTGAATGATTACAAATATGTATACAATATCTTATATGAATTTTATCTTTCTAATTCATACATATACTAATATATATATATACGAAAAATTTTGAAAACAAATAATTTAATTTAGACTTACAAAATAAGATTATTATTGTAATTATTAATATAATAAAGAAATGTACTATATTGTACTTCGGATCAACTTAATTGAGAAGATTTAGCTTATGATAAAACATGACATATTGACATAAGTATAAAAAATGATGACATTATTAATCAATGTTATACTTATGAAAATAAAAAAAAAATAGCAATAATTCTGAAGAAGATTCGTTTGAACAACAACAACAAATTGAAAGACCTTGAAGGAAGGAAGAATACTCGTACTTATCGCTTATCTTTCGGTATCAGATACTGTCTAACAGCAAATTCAATAGCCCGATATCGTCTCTACAACTAATACTAGCCGTAGTTCTGAACAGAAGAAGACCGACCTGAAGCAGAGTTCTTGCGATTCTCATACACATTAACTAACCAGAAGAGCAGATGTATGTTACAACATGCTATCGGCCAGATGATTCGAGACAAATAGCCATTAGTGACTTATACCCTTGAATAAATATGTAAAATATTCAAAAAAAAAAATACCAACAGATCGTTGGTAAGAAAAGAATCTATATAATATGAAGAGTATTATTGCTGTAATAAAATGGTTAGGTATATTTTTTCTCGTTTGAGTTTTAGCATGTTGACAATAAACTTCAAAATAATTCTTTTTATGTTTATTAATATAAATCATCGTTAGATTAAGATTAACAATCAATAATGAATAATATAATCAGAAAAACGAACATTGAATAAACGAGTAAAGATGATTAATTGCTAGAAAAATGAATTTTTTCACTTTTATTTAGTTTTAATCGATTGTTGAACAAAAAATTATCAGTGACTCAGGTTTTTAAATTTAAATGTAATTATTTTATGATGCATATAGTTATTTTAATGTCGCAACAGAGCATATATGGTGTTATTGATAAAGATCCAAATTGTTGTCTCAATGATGAGTACGACATTTTTTTGTAAAGAAAATGCGAATTGAAGATTACAAGAAATTCATTATTTTCTAACAATAGTGTATGATACATAAACGTCTTAGTTTTTATCTTAATCATGCTAAGGATAATAACAATTTGTTTTTGTGTCCTTGACCAAAAAAGATAATGTGATCATGAAAACAACGTATTCCATTCTATTTGTCGAATTTTCTTTTTGTTTTTTCATTTTTTTTTTTTTTGTATCTTCTTTTTTCTTATTAAGAATAAAATTTAGATTCGTACTTTTCTCTTTATAAATAAAAATCAATTTGATTCAAAACAACAAAATTGTCAAACATGTGATAAAGGAAAAATATAAAATATCTTATCGAAATCTAAACTATGTTATAAAATGTCACGCACAAATATGATATTGACATTAAAAAAAAGTTTTTGTTTTCATAAGAATATTTTATGTAAAGATAAATATTAATAAGTATCTACTTCTATTCTCCTCTGTAGATAACTTGAAGTTTTATTATTGTAAGCATGTGCTTTACCGCAGTTAGAAATTTTACATTGTATCAGTCTATTTTCAAATGTTGAAAATGCAAAATAAATGAAAATATTTAAAAAAAAAAGAATTTACATACTGTCGTATGAAAATTTACGTATATTTTAACTGTTCTAATAATAAATATAACTTTATCTAACTTGCTTTTTATATTTTTCTTTTGTTTTTTTTTTCTATGATAAGACAACGAAAAGGCATCAGTATTTGTAGTGTCGTTAACTTAGGTATGTGTCTAAAATAGTTTTTGAAAAAAACGCTTTTCTTTCATATATTGACATTTTTTTCATTCCTAAATCTATAATTTCAACGTTATTAGTCATACATATTTAGAAAGAATTGTACTATATTATCAACATTAGCTATGGCTCGTTCATCGCAAAGTAATTTGATTATTTGTTAAGATATTTTATTTTCATTTCTTAAATTAAGATCTCGATGATGATGGTAATGCAAAACGAAGTGATTTCAGATCACTTTTGAGAACATCACGTCAAAACGATTCACTAAATGAAGAAAGTACATATAATCATTTCTCCAGTCAACAAAATCGTCATGTTCGTACCAATGATGGCAATGAGACATATGCAAGACCACGAAATGATGAAGAGTCTCCTGTCGTTTTAAGAAAACAGGAAACCAATCGCATTGATAATAAATATACAAGTACAGGTCGCATAGTCGAAGCCAAAATCGTTAATATAGATGATCGAAAATCTAGCGAAGTACAGCCTCAGGTTCAATATTCAACTAACTCTGATCATAATCAAGGCTACAACCGGCAATCGAATTCTTCCGAAAGAACACAACGTTCAAGCAACGTTTATTCTACAACGCGTCCAATTAATGTTAAATCAGGTCCACTTGTAATTGATATTAACATATCAGTAAGCGTTGGTCGTAGTAATTCGCAAAGAACAGATAGAACACATAATATAATAGCAACATTACCACCTATAAATTCAAGAGCAACATTCGACAATGTTCATTATCTTGATATAGATCTTTGTTCACCAGATCGTACTGCTAAACTAGCAACAGATGGTACTATGCGTGATCGATCATTGAATCAATCAACTACTCATTCCCATGAAAATCAACAATAAAAATTCATATTGTTTTCTAATGAACTATTAAAGACCATGTGTGCGTGTGTGTGTGTGTGTTTGTATTTGCGTCCATAATTATTTTTATTTATCGAAATGAGAATAAACAAAGCAAAGGATAGCAGCTAATGAAAATAGAAGAATAAAAAATAAATAAATAGAAAATCTATCAATGACTAGTCACTTATTGCATATTTGTAATGTATTATTTATATTAGTATTAACTTCGGCCCATAAAAATTGTTTTGAAGAATCAAATCATATAAACTATCTATTTTTGAATGATATGTCTCAAATAAAAATTCCATTATTACCACTTGATTGTATTTATTGTCAATCAGCATATCAAGTGAGTAATATTTGTTTTTGTTTTTTTGTATTCTTTTGAATAATAAAAACAAAAAAAATCCTTCAGGTTGATATTCAACTTATTGATGAACAATTCTTTGGTAATCGTACAATACAACGTATAAAAATATTTTTAAAAAATTTTGAAATTGAAGATTTATCTTATATTTGTCTTATAAATATTTGTCCAATTATAGTTGAATATGGAAGTAATTCAATTCAATTAAATATAACATCATCATTATTTTCACATGTTTTTCTTTCATTCATATATTTGAATTCTTATAATTATTCAATTATATGTTCAATACAAACACGTTTTGCTATATATTCATTAAATCAATTTTTAATATGTACAGAAAAAATTTATCTTCATCCACGGTTAAATATTCAAATCATAGGACAATTATTAATTTATGATTGTCGTGCATATTTATTTGAAGAAAATATTTATCAAACAAGTATAAAATTTCATCGAAAAAATTTTCCTTCAAATAATCAAATAACAAAAATAAAATCTTCAGGTAAAACATGTGAATATATATTAGAAAATGTAATTTATATTAATAATATTTCATTAATACAAACTAATGAATTATTAACAACAATTAATTTATATTCATTTTATAATCCATGGAAAAAAGATATTCAAATATTAGGAACATGCCAAACAAAATTTATTCCATATCGTGAAATGTTTTTTACAAATGATATTATTCATATTCGAAATATCATTATAGAAAAAGGACAAACTATTCAAATACATTGTAAAGAATTTTTTTTTGTATTATAATTATTTACCAAAATTTGTAGTAATCATATTATTTGGGTTTTTTAAGGGTATTTTAGATGTTGATCATTCTACCAAATTAAAATTCTATTGTAATTTAAGTAACTTAAATGGTCAAGGATGATATCTTTGATCTTCTTCATCCATATATATGAAAAACTAATAAAAATATTACTTTTGTTTTTTGGATATTCGGATTCATAAGAAAAGAAATGAAAACTGACCTTTCTATGTGATTCGAATCGAACAAAAGTCGTCAGTAGACCGTTCGATTTAATGTGCACTATCCTCGTAGTGTTCACCAATATTTCGATACTTAAGATCTCGCTCTCAAAAATTGATCTTGTATCAGATAAATTCAAATCACATGAAACTTTCATAATATGTTAAGGCTGTGGTGGAGAAGTTATACTCAAATTTTCAGCCCTATTTCATGATGTTTTCGGGAGTTATTCCACAAGCAAAGGTCAAAAATAGCTCATTGGGCAAACTGTATATTCTCTGCAGGTCCCTATTCTATAGATTTAATTGTTCTTTTTTTTTTTTATTTAAGAGAGCATTTCAGATTGCAGTGCTCTTATTTTTCTTTTTATGCGGAGAAAAAATAAGTGCTTTTTTATATAATGACGCAAAAAGCATAATTCAAAAAACAATCTCTGCCTGGCATTGCAACTTTACATGCTCTTTTCAAACAAAAATAAAAAACAATAAAACTTCTTCGAGAGTTTTTGGATGCGCGATTAGAAAAGCATAAACAGAGAGCAAGATTTAGCACCTTTTTGTGAAAAAAAGTGACGGAAATTATCAACAATTTTTGCAAAAAAACAAATGAGATATTAAATAAAAAAATCATGCCATTGGTGGTGGAAGATTAAACCTCGAGCTAACATTTCAGTGTTGATTTTTCTAATGAGAATCGGCTTGTTTTTTTTTCGAGGGAGGGGGGGGGGGGGCGAGAACCTTCAATGAGCGGTTATCTTCTGATCACCATTCTACCACAATATATCGATAGTTGGCCTTTGACCGGCAATCTACTGTCGGTTTACTGACGGCAGCACGAATATGAGTGTTGAACAAAAGAATTGAAATTGACTCGAATAAAAATGTCTTCAATGATTTGCATGGTTTATTATTCATATTTAGGTCCAATTGATGGTTCTAAAGAATATTTAAAATATGTATGGTACTATCAACGATATCAACCTAAATATCAAATATCAAATAATCGAACAATTCTCTTAAGTAATATTACTGAACAAATGCAAGGTTTGATTAGTGAAAAAAGAAAACAAAAAAAAAAAAATCAAAAATCTTTTTTTTTTATTCTTATTAGGTAAATATATATGTATTGGTGATGATGGCAATGAAAAGTTAGAATTTGAAATGACATTACATATATTAAACCAAAATAAAACAAAGAATAATAATTCATTTCATATTATCATTATGTAAGAGATTACTCGAATTGAATTTCTTTATTTTTTTTTTTTTAATGTCTATAAACTTCTTGAGCCAGACAGTCATGTAATGTATACATATCTCAAGATTTGCATATACTAGATATATGAAAAAAAAAAAATTATAAAATTTCAACTCGAATAATATTTTATTTAATAAATATCTCTTTTTTTAATAGATTAATTCTTATTATTTGTCTTGTCTTATTCTGTTTTATAATATCTCTTATAATATATTTTTTATTAAAAATAAAATCTTCTCAAATTTCTTCATCTACGAATTATTCCATACAAAAAGAAAATTCTTTAATTATACATCATGATGTTATGGTTACAATTCAACATTCAACTGAACATCAATTAATAAATTCTCTATGGAATCAACCACCATATCATACACTTGATTACATTGATGAACAACCAACACATCATATACCATCAAATGATATTTCATCAAATCAATTAATACAAACACCATCATGGATATGGAATAAACAATTTATTTCAAACATAAAACAACAACAAAAAATACCACATCGATTTTCTACACGTCATAGAAATTTAAATGGACAACCACCAACACAATTATCTGTTAATATACCATTAATAAAATCTAATAGTGATATAACATCACCATTATTAGTTAAATATCATCAAATATCTCATTCAATAAATAATAGTATTAATGAACAACATAATGATATTGAAATACTTAAAATATCTGTACCATTATTAAATCAATATCCATTAATAAAATCAACAAATTCAATGATTTCATTTGATAGTCAATATGAACTCGAGGAATTTAATCGAATGACTTATGTGTGTATGGATAATGAAACAGTTTTTATTGATAGACAATCATAGAAGAATATATTAAAAATCAATGCAAACTGAATCTTTGAATTGTCATACATACATATACATATATATATATATTCAATTGAATAGAAAGAAAAAAAAAATATTTAAATAAAGTGTACTAGTGATGTAAATGAATGAAATATGCCATGTATTATTACTCTTGTCTTTGTCATATTTAAATCTTTGAGTTGATTATCAATTAAAGTTTTACGAAACTTTTATGAGAAATAGATCTCATTGTACATAAGACAAGTCCTGCTAGACGTATGGTTATCAGATAATATTTCTCTGACGATATAGGAAATCCAATGGTTAAAAGTTTTCCTTCATTTCACTACCGTTAGTATAGCTGAAATCTTAGTCTGTAATATCTATCAACACATTGGGATATTTGTGTTTTTTTTTAATTGATCAAAAAAAATCTTGATATGGTTGACGCAAGAGAATCAAATGATTTGAAGATCTAAGAAAGAAAAAGCAGGTTTTTTGATGTAATGCAAATTTTGTAAGATCGAGCAATATTCACTTGTGCAGTATTTTTCAATGAAAAACAAATAATCTTATTAGTTGTACCAGGTCTCATTAACTTATGTGTCTAATCATAAACAACTCATTTAAGAATATTCGAATAGAATTTTACTTTTTCAAAAGACAAAAACTGAATTTTATGTATATCAGATTTCAATACGAAACAAAAGATTAATAAACGATATACTATTTCAAATTTACGCTGAATATACCATGCTTCCAAAATTATTCGACCAGGTCTGTTTGATTGTCGTAAAACCTAATAAGAATTTCTGAAAATGAAAATAATTGCTACACATGCAAAGATAGGACCTCTGGAAAACCTCGAAACCCATTTTTTTTTATTTTCTGGAATTCGCAAATAGAATTCTGTTTTAATTACTCACTATGATAGAGAAAACAATTCTCTAAAAAACCGAAATGTTTTTCTGCTCTCTACGTTTCTTTTACATCAATCTAACATAAGGTACAAAAATAATGTTTTTATAAGCTATACGAAAAACAAGAATTTTCTTCCGTTCGTAAGATTGATGTACAGTGGCTCCAAAAATTATTCATACAGGTGTAATTTCGATTTTTTTCCCTAATGGTAACTCCTATGAAGAATCCAAATAGTGATTTGGATAGAGAAAATTGTTTCCAACAAAGGTCCCAGAAAGATGAAATTCTCATCTTATTCCCCAAAACCAGGATCTTTGGAAAACCGAAAACCTATTTTTTCAGCACCCAGACCCCGAAAATAAAAGTTTGTTTTGATTACACAGGGTGATAGAGCAACGAATTCTCTACAAAATGAGATGTCTCCGAGCTCTCCATGACAATTTTTTACTGAACTGCATCAGTTTTAAGGAACACCCTAAAGTGCTTTTTGTCCGATTTTCCCATAGGAAATGGTGAAAATACCATTTTTGAGTGTTTCTTAAAACTGATGCAGTTCAGTAAAAAATTGTCATGGAGAGCTCGGAGACATCTCATTTTGTAGAGAATTCGTTGCTCTATCACCCTGTGTACTCAAAACAAACTTTTATTTTCGGGGTCTTGGTGCTGAAAACATAGGTTTTCGGTTTTCCAGAGATCCTGGTTTTGGGGAATAAGATGAGAATTTCATCTTTCTGGGACCTTTGTTGGAAACAATTTTCTCTATCCAAATCACTATTTGGACTCTTCATAGGAGTTACCATTAGGGAAAAAAATCGAAATTTCACCTGTATGAATAATTTTTGGAGCCATTGTATGTTAGTCAAAAACCGTGACAGAAGCCTGCAAGATATTTTATTCCATAGAGAATTGTTTGCTCTATTATTCTGGATAATTCAAACAGAATTCTATTTGTAAAATCTAGGATACCAAAAAACCTAAGTTTCCAGGTTTTCCAGAGATCCTACCTTTGGAAATGTAGCAATCATTTTCATTTTTAGAAATTCTTATTGAGACTCAAAATTCTCTACACAAATCATTATTTGAATTCTTATTAGCGTTTACGGCTGCAAAATGAATCTGATCGAATAATTTTTCGAAATCACTCTATACATCAATTTACATATTAGTTTTTAGTACAAAACTCTCAAGCAATTTCATGAAATGACTTAATTAGATAAAAATTTATATTTATTCTATGTCCATGCAGCATCAAAAAAGAAACAGTGATCGTGATCTATATTATCTTTCCATGGTAAAATGTACATTTCGAATACTAATTCGACTCAATCACGTGTTTAAAATAAGAGAAAAAAAAGGAAAATAAAATTCTCTTTGACTTTAAATCAATTTTCTCTTTTCGATTTATCTTTATAATCGAATATATACTTTTTCTCTATTTATTATCTATTCGTATATATATGTGTATACATTCCGGTTGAATCCGTCGACGGAAAAGTATGCTTTTTTTTTTTCCTTGTTCTTCGTCTTCTTCTATATCTGTCTGTCTATCTTCTATCTTTATCTAATGATTTGTTTTCGTTCTTTTAAACAGAGCACAAAATAAATAACGTAACGTTAATCGTATTCATAAATATTATAATGGAGCAACATCAACGTTTATTATATTCATCATCTCATTCACCACGATATGAATGGCGTCAACATACTACATATTTTCCTCCATCACCACCTATAACAAATAATAATAATAATAATAATAATAATTCATGGATTCGACCAACATCGTAAGTAAACTTATTTTACTCTTTTTTAACAATTTTCTTTTCTATTTGATTGGTTCATTTATTTAAATCGAAGAAAAGGAAGAAGAAAAAGAAAATAAAAGGTTTCTCAAAGAGAGGGAAAGAGAGAGAGAAAGGACACTTTTTTCTTTTTTTGAGTTGTTTCATTTCATTTTTAACATAAACAATCTTTTCACAACTCTTCCTTATCATAAAACAAACACAAAACTTACATCACATATACGACAAAAGTATTTCGTTTTTACTTTTTTTTTCTTCTTCTTTAAGATCAACATTAACAAAAGTCACTCCGAATAGTGACGATAATTCAAATTATTATCATTCTTGGTTACATACAATACCAACACCATCATCACCTATTTTAAATTCAACACATCGTCAACGTTATACACCAAGATTTGCATCTATTAAATCTCATTCACCGAATTATTATCCATTAATGCAAGCCAATTTACAGAAAGATACGACATTTACAAAAATATTTGTCGGAGGTTAGATCATAATGAAATTTTACTATTTGTTTTTTTTTTTGGTTATAATATTATTAAATTTTAGGTTTACCTTATCATACAACTGATGAAACATTACGAGCATTTTTTTTAAAGTTTGGTGAAATTGAAGAAGCTGTTGTTATTAATGATCGTAGTACAGGAAAATCACGTGGATATGGATTTGTTAGTTTTTTTTTTTTTCTGTCTAAAAATTTTTCATTTATTAACAAAAATTTTATAATTTGTAGGTAACAATGGTACATAAAGAAGATGCTGAAGAAGCTGTTAAAGATCCAAATCCAACGATTGATGGTCGTCGTGCTAATGTTAATTTAGCTTATATGGGTGCAAAAAATCGTACAACATTACCACGTATGATAAGAAATGATAGAAATTTTTCGAAGATTTTTTTTTTTTATTTATTTGTCTTGTTTCTAGTTAGTTATGGTGTACTTGCTCGAATGCCAACATATCAATCAACAGCTACGGCTTATCCGTATGTAATTTTTTTTTTTGTTTGTTTTTTTCATCGATATTCTCTTTCATTAATGAGATTTTTCTTTTTCTCTCTTTTTTTTTATGTTGAGAATGAAGCCATTTGTTTGTTTTTTAAACTCAATTATAACTATGATGATTAACTAGGTTTCATTTTGTCCTTGTCTTTTTGATTGAAACGAAAATGAAAGTAGAGTAGAGAGAGAGGAAAGCATTTTATGCCGATAGCATTTATATGAATAGAAACTAATGTATATAATAGAAGAGAGAGGTGAAAGTTGGATAAACAATTGTCACCTTTTCTTTTCTTTTTCTTTTTTTTTTACTTCTTCAAATTTTAAAAGAGAAATCAATGGGATACAATGAAGAGCGGCATTCTTTTTTTCCTGTCTTTCTCTCTCTCTCTATAGGCTAATGCAAAGTGTTGCCAACGGATGAACAGCAAAGTGAATTAAATGAAAAAAAAAAGGTGCTTATGAGTGTTTTTCGCGTGCTCTGACCGTGTTTTATTTTTGTTTTGCCCGTTTGCATTTTGTTTGCCGTGTGTATATAAATGTATATATCTATAAAATTCAACCGAGTGTAACGATTTATGTCTGATTCTCTTATCCCTAAAAATAGATAAACAAAAAAAATACGAAATGATCATGACAAAAGCTCTCTGTTTTCTATTTCATTACCCCGTGTGTTATTTTGTTTGTTTGTTTGTTGTTTTTGGCTCTCGTTTGTGTTTGGTTTGACTTCGATGATCTATTTTCTTTTAGTTTTACTACAAATTTTATAGGGCGAAAAAAAACAAAAATAGAAAAAAATTCATGAAAAGAAAAAAATATATATAAATTTTTGTTGTTGTTTTTTTATAGGTCAAATGTTATATATTATCCATTAACACAACAATCAACAATTCAACAACCAATTTATATAGCACCAACAACAGGTGCAACAGCAACAACATGGCCATCAAATCTATTTTCACAATTTAATCTTGCAAATTTAGCAACAACAACATCAAATACAAATGTATCAGGAACATTAAATCCTGGTACATCATCACCACAAACTCTTTATGAAGTTCCAACTGCTTTATTTGAATCATCAGCTATTGTATCACCCACACCAACAATTGGTGGTAATGCACAAACAACTGGACAACAATTATATTGGTCAGGTTATAGTTAACTGAAATTTCTTTTTTTTTGTTTTTATCTGTTTGTCAGTGTATCGGATTCATTTTTTTTCTTCTTCTTTGTTTTCTTTTGTGTATAATTGAAAAAAAAAGCCCGAAACAAAATCTCTTCTCTTTTTGTCGTCGTCGTCGTCATTTGTTTATTGTTATTTTGTTCTTCTTGATACATTTCTGAAAGTATTATTGACTTCAGTACTTTTTTTTTCCTTTTTTTTTTGTTGTTGTTTTGCGTCTTTTATTTCGGACTTGGAAGATTTGTTTCTTTCTCATTTAACATCATTTTATTTCTCAAACTAAAAAATTGCAAAAACATATATATGGAAATAAAGAAGAATTAAAAAGAAATCTATTTGCAAGTTTTTAACAAGAATTTAATAGAATGTTTAGTATTACATGATAAACTAAACTGTTATAATATGTATCGATGATATGAAACATAAAAAGAAAACTTGACAGAGGAAATTAAATAATTGATTATTAAATTTTTCAGTTTAGATTTTACAACTCAAATAAATATTTGCAGGACAAAAAGAAGTCTTGAGAAAGTTGCTTTCTTTTGAAAGATGACGATGTTTCTTCAAAATTTATCGACCTACGAAGGTAGTTTCAATGATTTAATCTAAGGTTGAAAGATGATAATCTGTTAATGGAATTGTTTTCGAAAGAATATTTCATGAAAAGATAAAATACAGGGGTTGTCAAAAATGTAGCCCCCCCCCCTCATATGAACATGCAAAAATATTTATGTTATTTCAAAAATGAATGATATCAATCTGTTACTTGCGCGTCAATGTAAGACTACTTAAGTACTATCTGATATTCTAAACTTCCTCTTTCATGTTTTGCTCTTCGAAGAAAAAATTGAAGAAAACTGAAAAATATCTGTACCATAATTATAGACCCCCTTGGTAAAAAACATATTTTCTCATCTTTTAAAGCATTCCACACCTTCAGTTTTAATATTTTATTGTAACATTAACTGTTTTCTACCTTTTTCATTCTATTTGAGGTATTATCAGAAATATTTTACTTCAAAATTTCAAGATTTTGGATATTTCATGAACTTTCGTCATCTACAAGTCAAATTTTGCCAACAAATAAATTCTTTCATGTTCCGTATCCACTTAAAACTAAGGAACTAGATATGGTTTCACGAAATAATGTTAACAGAACCGAAATTCTACTATTAGAAGTGAAATTGGAAAGGCTTTGGCTTAAAAACACTAGTCATTTTTTTCTTCTGCTACACATTTTTCAGCAAGCCTTGAGCTACACTTGCAATTTTAACTCATAAACCAAATCCAATGGTATGGTTAGAAAGAGCACATCAAGTTGTACGCAACACACTCCAAAACGAACAGGAAATATGACTTCTGAAACAAGTGAGTCATACTCACATGAGACCAACTAACTGTAACAGCATCAAAAAAATGAAGACAAAGAACATAATTTGCTGATTCTTCAAGAGAAAGATCTGGACGAACCTTCATTACCTGTTCAGAAGGATACATGTCCGCTGATGACACGAAACCACGAAAGTTCGATTTTTTGCCCCTGTGTTGTACTAGAGACTTTAAGTTGATACCCGCCATTTTTTTGATGCTGTTACAATTAGTTGGTCTCGTGTGTGTATGACTCACTTGTTTCAGAAAGTCATATTTCCTGCTAGTTTTTGCATGTGTTACATACAGCTTGATGTGCTCTTTCTAACCATACCATTGGATTTGGTTTATGAGTTAAAATCGCAAGTGTAGTTCAAGGCTTGCTGAAAAATGTGTAGCAGAAGAAAAAAATGACTGGTGTTTTTAAGCCAAAGCCTTTCCAATTTTACTTCTACTAGTAGAATTTCGGTTCTGTTGACATTATTTCGTGAAATCATATCTAGTCCCTTAGTTTTAAGTGGATACGGAACATGAAAGAATTTATTTGTTGGCAAAATTTGACTAGTAGATGATGAAAGTTCAAGAAATATCCAAAATCTTGAAATTTTGAAGTAAAATATTTCTGATAATACCTCAAATAGAATGAAAAAGGTAGAAAACAGTTAATGTTACAATAAAATATTAAAACTGAAGGTGTGGAATGCTTTAAAAGATGAGAAAATATGTTTTTTGCCAAGGGAGTCTATAATTATTGTACAGATATTTTACAGTTTTCTTCAATTTTTTCTTCAAAGAGCAAGACATGAAAGAGGGAGTTTAGAATATCAGATAGTACTTAAGTAGTCTTACATAGACGCGCAAGTATCAGATTGATATCGTTCGTTTTTGAAATAAAATAAATATTTTTGCATGTTCATATGAGGGGGGCCTATATTTTTGACAACCCCTGTAATTGTGATACTCATTTTAGTTATCATTGGACAAATAAATAAATGTCTAAAATTGACGATGGATATACTGAAATTCAGACGATAGTATTCGTTGGATTTCTTACAAAAAATTAGTATTGATTTTTCTGATCAAGAAAAATCTTGTATGAGAAAAAAAAGTTAGCTCTTTTATACGGCGAACAATTACGAGTGATCTATTAAATTTTAATCGTCTGTATTCTAGATGAAAAAAGTTTTCAGATTCGCCTTGAATTTTATCTACAAATATTTCTATTCATTTATAGAAAATTCTCCTGTCTCTTTTTCGAAAAAAGTAAGATTAAAATCTTTGCATATCTAATTTATTTGTTAAGATCGTCAATAAAAATAAAACATCGAATCCTTAGAACACTAGCTGTTCTTTACAACTTCTTCTGAGTATTTCATTAATCATCAAAGAAAAAATCAATCTGATTGAAATAAAGAGCAATGAGTATCCTTACAGGATTTTAGGTCGTCAACTTATAGCTGCGGACGTATCGCACTTTATGTTATTTTTTAACTCAACGTCATAGCCCCTTCAGGAACATTGGGAACAATGATTTTCAAATTTCGGCTTGATACTTTGCACCGAGACAAATCTAAACGAAAAATAATTTATCGTGAATGTTTCAGATCTTTTGATTAACTTCTTTCGTGAAATACGAACATCGAATTTACTGTTGTATATATGGGCGATGTGAAAGCCACACTGCTTATAATAGTCGTATCATATTATAGGAACAATGAAAAGATTTGAAACTCTCATAATAAATTATTTTCATTGAGATCTGTCTCTGTGCAGAATTTCAAATGAAAATTCGAAAAATTATTTTTCTAGTATTTCAGAGGAGGATCATGGCATTGACTTAAAAACCACCGTAAAATACACAATTTCCATATCAATAAGCTAACAGTTCGAACTGTTTTGATAGTATTCACGAGTCATTAGACTTTCCATGATGCACATTATTGCGATTCAAAAGCAACTAGTCAAGTAGAAAACTTTCCTCGTTAGTATCTTAGTAATAGCAAAACTCTGAGTAAAAACAAAAATAAAACTTAAGTATTTTTTATCTTAATTTTCTATTTAAATAAAATAAGAAAGGGAATACATAGCTATAGGTTTAAATATGATATGAAGTGTTTTTATTTGAATAAATATGTCTTAATTGCAACTTGGACAAACAATGGCTGAACCAAGACGATGACATGGCTTATTAACTAAATTGAGTCCACAACGATTACATGTAAAACATTCATTATGATAAGGATTATCTTCATAATATGAAAATGATTGTGTTTTTTCAATTGATTTTTGACATTTAGCACATTGATGAAGTTCAACTGGTTTATAATCCGAAAATTCTTGTTTACCTTCTGAATGACATTTTATACTAAAACAAATGATTAAATAAAATAGTTAAAAAAAAAAAAACAACGAAAAAATGAAATTCTAAACGTACCATTGTGGATAACCTCGTAATTCAAAAAATTGTTCACCTTCATTTATTTGTGAATTACATGACCAACAACAAAAACATTCTGGATGATATTCTTGTCCTTTGTATAATTTGTATCTTACACCTGCTTCAATTGTATTTCCACAACGTTTACAACGTGTTGATACACGCTTATGACATTGTTCACATGTAAAACCTTCTAATGTTGGATAAAAATTACCACTTAATGGACTTCGACATTTAGCACATTTAAGACAATTTTGATGATAAGTTTTATTACTAAATATTGTACGTGGTTCTGTTCGACCAAAACTTTTACCACATGCTCCACAACGATCACAAAAATGCGGTGTTGTCATTTTCTTTTCTTTTTGTTTCTTCTCAAAAATATACCAAAATTATATGGTTCTATACTAATATATACGACTCGTACAGATTCCACAATATTCTATGTATGGTAACAGAGTGAAGATGGATTGTACAGAACAAGAATAAGTTATGTGCCGAGGAAGAAAAAAAAACACACGCAAAGCAACAAAAAAATAAAGGGAAAAAAAGCCAAACTTCCTAGTAACGTTTCGTCAACGGTATTTCTGTTTTCTGTTATAACTTTTAGTATATCTATTGGAAAGAAGAAAGAATTTGTTTTTTTCTCGAATCATCTAGACAACATAATTTGCTTTCCTATTATAGATCTATTTACAACGTAAGAAACAAAATATCTCAGTATATAACGAAAAAAAAAAAAGAACGAGATGATCTTTGTTTCCTTCTTTCTATACTTTGTATACATACATAAATATATATATATATTAACCATACAAGCTAAATTTCTAAGGATTGTTGATTTAGACTAAATAATAGTAACATTAGCAAAAGAAAAAACTCTAGGGTTATGTTGAATAAGCAGATGTATTCTCATAGAATACAAGTTAACATTCTGAACAGATATAACTCGCAGCAATAGGATATCAGTAGAGAGAGAAACGAGTCAGATGGTCATAATCGATGGATACATTAGTTGATGATATCAGTATTGACATATTTTTTTTATGTATGTTATAATGAAAAGAAAACATCTAATATTAAATTTCAATAACCAAATGTTATTTTTGATAAAAGGAGAAAAAATATTTTGAAACATAATTTCCAGTTCTTTCATATTTTAAAGTATGATTTTGCTTTAATTTATTACAAGATTATTATATCTTTTAAAAATTGGATTAAAGTTCATGGAAATAAGAAAAGATTAAACATCAAAATGTAAGCTCAATAATTATTTTATATTATATTTGAATATAAATTGTTAATTGGGTCGACAAAAACGAAAAGTACTAGAAAAACTGGAATAGATGTCGTTCATTTCGTTTCAAATAGTTTTGCTATATTATTTATTACAAGTTAATTAAAAGTGATTGGTCTTTCATTTTGAAATACACAACTTTCAAATTTACAGATTTCATGTTATGGCGAAAGTAAACGAGGTTCACAGGTGTTTCTCTCATCAACGGTTGAGTTCCACTTAAAAGGAAGCTTGAACCTGTATAAATGCATTACCAGAGGATCTCGAGTCGCTCGGCAGAGATGATAAGGAGGCTAAGTTCGCCACAATTTCTTGTTATGATTACTTATAGTGTCCTGACTGATTGATATTCTTTGTCATGATCGCGATCACAATGACGAATATTTACATTTCATCTAAAGACAGGAGAGTAATTAGTAATGTACTGCATGACCAACAAAATTTCGATCACGAAAAAAAAATATTTGTGATCACACCGTACACTAGTTACATCAATCATATTCATCTGTTTCTTTTAATATCTCTACAAACTACTAGAAATAATAAGTCAAACACAAATGTATTCTCATGTATATCACGTTCACTCAGTTGTTGACATCGAAGTCTTTGTTCTTTCAGATTCTTTATAATGAAATTTGTTAATATAAATTTTTTAGCTATTCCATAGAGATGACATTCTATAACAATATATAATCAAGAATTATATTCTTTTAATCTAATCATAAACAATGGGTACAAAAAAATTAATATCAATTAGATAAGATATAATATATGAAAGACGGCATAAAAATAAAAAGCATGCTGTTTTTTTTTATCTAAATAAAATAAATGATTGTCACGTTCTACTTTTTGTATATACGATATTTTCATGAATCAACTAAGTTTAAAAGGTAGTATGAATCATATTATTTATAAAAGAAATGAAAACAAAATAACATAACATTTAATTCAATAGATATTTAATTTTGTAGTAATATTTTTTTTATTTTTCTTCCATTCAATTACATACCGATCTCATAACTATTCAATCTTAGTTAAAGCACGATTTAAGACATTTCTCATATATATAAATAAATATATATATATATATATACATAAAGACAAAATATAGAGAATATCGAAAGAAAAAAAAACTGAAAATAATTCAAATAACTACAAAACACACACACACATATATAGATATAAATATATATGTAAACAAAATTATTTTTTCATTGATTCATCCGATGCTTCATCATCATCATGATTAATATCCATCGGGGAATATACTGATGATGATTGACCAGTATAACGTCGTTTTTTAAATGGTAATTGTTCTTCAGATTGTTTACTTGTATCCATTGGTTGAACTTGTATATTTTTTTCTTCACTATCTGATCGTTTATTTTGTAATGAAGAAAATGTTTCATTTATTGTATTTGATTGTATATGTGATAAGGTTGAATAATGTGCATTATGAAATTGTACTGAATGATGATTTAAAGGAGCTATTATATGAAATGGTTGTGTTGAATGTTGATTTGAATTTGTAATTACATAAGCAAAATTTGTATGAGGAAGAAAATAATTTGGTAATGAATGTGATTGAGTTGTTGGAAATAAACCAGTTATTTGTGGTAATGATGTTGGTGGAATACCAGTATTTGATGATGTTGAAGAAGGAATTCGTATAGGCATTGTTGTAGGATTATGAAGAGATGATGAAATTTGATTTGAATGACAGAACATTGGTACATGATGTTGTGGAGGTAAATCAAGAGGATTTTCATTAAATGAACTTGGAACACTTGACGAAGATGATATAAGAGATGAATGAAAACCTAGAATAAATTTATATTATTAAATATGATGAGATAAATTCTAATATCTTCCATAGAGACTTTTTTTTATAGATAAATTAGACTTTTTCGTTTATTATTTCGTACTATGAACTTATGTAAGTTTGATACTAAGGCTCTTTGTATTTTTTTTAGTGAACAAAAAAAAAATTGAAATTGTATCTTTATTTTTATTAATAGAATTTTTATAAGAAAGTCCAATGGAATCTCTCGAAAAGGTCATAAACATCATGATCAAAGTTCCATTGAAAAAAAAAAGGAAACTCAATATTCATACCTGAACTTCTTGATACTGATGAACTTTCAATATTAATTGGTGACGATGCTTGATATTGTTGTTTGTTAACATGATTAATCGTTCGAGGTGATCGTAATGTATATGGAAAATGACTTGGTGAATGTAAATGAGATCGTGAATTTGATAGAGATGATGGTGGACTTTTTAAAGGATTATTATTATGATTTTTTCCTAAAAGATTTTCACTTATAGTTCGAGATCGTGTTTTTGTTTTAATGATTGATCGTTCTGTTTGTGTCATGGCTTCAATGTGCCCTGTTGATTCAATACTTCTTCAGAAGAAAAGAAAAATAAGATTTACGAAAAAAAAACAAAAAAAAAAAAATGCGTTTTCTGTTTTTAGACTCTTACCTTTCTTCTGTGAATATCTATAAGTACAAAATTTTATTAAAAAATTCAGAAAAAATTAGAAAATTTTTCTTTTCGATTTACTTGTGTTGTTGATAATTCTCGATAATAATCTTCATCTAATAGAACTCTTCCCACACCATTTATCTGTTGAATATCAGAATGTTCTGGGGTTTTATTATTACAATCAAAACAACCAAGAAATTGGATACATATACCATCAACGATCATTTTTCCTGAAATACGAGTCTAGATGATAACAAGAAAAAAAAACAACAAATTTTATATTTTTAGAATTTTTCAATAAATCAAAATTTCTTTTTTTTTTTTTTACTTTTGTTTGATCATGTTGATCAGGTATACTTTGAACAGAGTCGAGAAAAAGTGAATAACCAATATCTCGAAATGTCTTTAAAAAATATCATATATGCAAACTTTTTTTTTTGTTTTTGATAATTTAAATAAAAACTTACAACAACTAAATGCTTGTTTAAAATATCTTCATCAAAGCGTTTTGCTAAATCTGATAAATCTTGATTATGATGAAAATGATTTTGCAATGGTACATAAAAAACATCAGTTTCATTTAATAATTTACTTAATTCTTCATGATGTTCAAATGATTCTTGTTGAGAAGGTAAAAGACCTATTGCTGTTGGCATTTTCGTCTTTAAATAATGACCGCAAATAAAAGCTAACGTTTCGTCTATTTATGTGGTGAATGGTTTTTATTTTTGTGCGTGATTGTTTTTTGGTCTTATGACATGCAGCAATCATTGGATCGCACATGCCATTTTCTTTTCTATGTGGACTTCATGACTAATAACCAATGAAAAAAGACAGAACAAGACACAATAAATTACCTTTCGACTGAGATAACCTTTTATGCTTTTATGAAGCAAAAAATCTAAAATTAATTCTAGAAAAATCTACTTGCACCGAAATAATCCAAAGACAAAAATTCTTAACTGTTGTCATTAGATAAAAAAATTGAATTCTTTTTTCTGCAGAATGACATCGTCATCAACAGATATCCTGATTATCGGTGCTGGTCCTACCGGTCTTATGTTAGCATGTCAATTGTCACTTTATCCAAATATATCTTTTCGTATTATTGATAAAAATTCAAATCGTACTATATATTCACGTGCTCTTGGTATTCATGCTCGTTCACTTGAATTATTTGCACAACTTAATCTTGCTGAAAAAGCTATAGTTCAAGGAGAATTTATTAATAAAGTTAATATATTCATTCGTGGAAAACATCGATCTTCTTTCGACTACAGTTTAATACGTACTGATAAAAAATCTTTACTTACACATTATCCTTATATTCTTTTTCTTGAACAATCAGTTACTGAAGAATTATTAGAAACATTTTTAAATGAACATAATATTAAAGTTGAACGACAAACTGAAGCAATAGATTTTATTGATAGAAATTCAAAGAATGATAATGAAGTTCAAGTTATTTTATCAACTGGTGAAATAATTCGAACAAAATATATTTGTGCATGTGATGGTGCACGAAGTATTGTTCGACATAAATTAAATTTACCATTTGATGGTCGAACATTTTCTGAATCACTTTTTGTTGCTGATTGTAAAATTGATAATGTACCTCTTGGTAAAAATCAATTTTCAATATTCTTAGCATCATCTGGTTTATCAGGCATATTTCCACTGGCTAATGATCGATATCGTATTGTTGGTACAATTCATGAAGAACAAGACACTGATCAAACGATATCTATTGATGAAGCTGCACATATATTAAAAGAACGAAGTGAACATTTTAATATGAATGTACATGATTGTAGTTGGATATCTGTTTATCGTTCTCATCATCGTCATATAACAACATTTCGATATCAAAAACGATATTTTTTTCTTGGCGATGCTGCTCATATTCATTCACCACTTGGTGGTCAAGGTATGAATACAGGTTTACAAGATGCACATAATCTTGCTTGGAAATTAGCCTATGTATTAATACATTCAGCTCGAGATCGTCTTCTTGATACATATCATGATGAACGTTCAGCTGTTGCAAAAACATTAGTTAATACACTTGATCGAGGTTTTGCTTTTCTATCAAGTAATAATAGGATTACACGATTTGTTCGTTTATCTATTTTACCAATTCTTTTTCAATTTGTCGTACAACCATTATTTACTTATTCAAGAAAATTTCAACAAATAGCATTTCTTCGAATTTCTCAATTAGGTATTACTTATCGTTCATTAAATGTTTATGATTATGGTGCATCAGCAGGAAATTTTCAACGAAATACACCACAACCTGGTGATCGTTTTCCTTATGTTATTTTTAATCCATGTTATTATCATTTGGTTATTTTTGAAAATCAACAATCAACAAAAGTAAATCAATTTGTTGAATTCATCAAGAAAGAATATTCAAAAATGATTCAAATTCATGATAGTTATGAAGAAAAGATTCCATTGCAATTTGAAGGTGCTATTCTTATTCGACCTGATGGATATATTGCTTATCGAACAAATGTATTTGATCTAAGACATTTTCAATGTTACTTCGATCAATTTTTTCCTAGAGAAATGGTGTAGTTTGTTTTAATGTGTTTACGCAATTATTCTAGCTTGATATTGATTGATTGGGAAATTGGGTTGATTTTCTTATCTTTAATAAAATTTAAAATATTTGATAGAGTTTAAAGTTCATAGATTTTTTCTTATAGATTAATCAAAACAAAAAAACTTAGTTTACTTTGCAAAGTATACAGATATTTATATAAATTGCAAATTTTTTTTGTTACAAAGATTATTTTAAACAAGATGACCATAAGCTCAAAACTTATTACGAACACTCTGGTTCAGGAATTTTTTTTCGAATTTGTGGAATTTTGATACTTGTAAGATAAAGACTGGATTATATTACTTACATGTGATTCCTTATATATAACTATCAGATCATAGATATTTTATAATTAATTCTTGCAGATTATACCGTGTAAGATATTCACCATTTTGACAGAAAATACAAATTCGTAAAACATACATTAAAAATTTGAATGATTTTGTTTAGGATTTTACGCAAACATTAGACGGAGGTTGTATGTATCTATAGATGATACCATGTCATCAACATGAATGATAGATTTGATGGCGATGACATTTCGCTGAAGTTTTGGCCTCTGATGTCTCTAGGATGACAAGTACTACAATATGATTGGCATCTATATTTCCAAGACAGGCCTCTACTGATACCATCTAGTATCTAATTGACAAAGTCAAACAACCGTGAAATAATAACATAATACTCCCGTTACTATAATAGCTATTGACTAACGTACATCTTTATTATTTCAGTTCTAAACTACAATTTATGCAGGATAAATTAATTAAAATAATGTGAATATTAATTGCATTGTGTAATAAACTTTTTTAGTACTCGAATAACCAGTTACTGAAGATTAATTATTTTAAAATGAACCTAATTTTAGAGTTGAACGACAAATTGAAGCAATAGATTTTATCGATATAGATTTGAAGAATGATGATGAAGTTCAAATTATTTTATCGAGTGGTGAATTTATTCGAATAAAATATATTTATGCATGTGATAGTGCACGAAATATTTTTCGACATAAATTGAATTTATCATTTCATTTTCGAACATATTCTGAATAATTTTTTGTTGTCAATTATACGATTGATAATTCACTCATAGAAAAAAAATGAATCTGCTATTTTTTATGAATCAACTGGTTTGATAAGTATATTTCTAATGGTTAATGATCGATATCGTCAATTTAGTTTAATTCATGAACAAAAACACAAAGACATGAATTTAATCGTTGATAATATTACATCTATGTTAATAATTCATTGTCAACATTATGATATGAACATCAATATGCATAGTTAATTATCTTTTTATTGCTCTCATCATCGTCATAGAACAATATTTCGATATCAAAATAGATATTTTTTTCTTGGTGATGCTGCTTTTGTTCATTCACTGTGTGTGTGGTAGTCAAGGAGTGAATATAAGTCTGCAAAGTGCACATAATCTTGCTTGAAAATTAGTCATTATATTAACATATTGAACTCGGAGCCGCCTTCTTGATAGATATCATGATGAACGTTCAAGTATTACAAAAACATTAGTTAATACAATTGATCGAATACTGACGCTTGTTTCTTGTTCTCCTTTATTTACCAAGCTTTGTCATCTTCATATTATGTCCCAATTTAATTACGATCTTTTTGTACAACATTAATATACATTCCATTCTATTCTATTGCTATTTTAACGGTACTATTCTTATTCGATCTGATGGGTATATTGTTTATCGAACAAATTTATGTGATCTAAAATATTTTCAATGCTATTTCGATCAATTTTTTTCTAAAGAAATCATCTAGTTGATTTGAATTATTGCCAATTTAAAGATTATTTCTTATTACTAAATTTTTTATCGCTAGAATGGTCTTTCACTTGCTGATGTAAATCGTAGGTGCAATAAGTTGATTTTGATATAACATCTATATAATATGTCGGCTATTGAATTTCATTAAGTAGCATTAAAGTTTTAATCAATGATTTTTTGAGACAATTATATAGAGTCAAAAGTCCATTTGAACAATGAAGAACAAGAAAGTTAAAATGTTACATAAGAATTGTATTTCAAAACTATGAAAAAAGAACATGAAGGAGATTTATATCGACAATAGTCATATTCATTGATGTGTTTGGGACAGACTATGCGATTAGAAGAAGAAAGCAAAATGGTTTTCCTCTCCTAAATTTTTCTTGTTTTTTGCTTTTCTTCCGGGAAATTCTCTGTTGTGAGTAGTTAGTTATAGGTTTTCATCCTAAGAAGGACAAATTGCCTATATAAAAGCGAAGTTGTGTTTCCAATTCTTCAAAGAAAACTAGTCATTTTCTCTCAAATAGACATTGAATCAGGCCACATTTTGAGGAGTAATATATTTAAAAAGATATAAAAGATAAGAAAAACGTCAAAAGTATAGTTTGATCAACAGTAGATCTAAAATTGATTTGTTAGATACTACAAAATACTATATGCAAAATTTGGATCGAAATGTAGACAAAAAATTCAAGTATCATTTTATTGAATATGTTTCGATGAAGTATCATCTTATTAAGCATCCGATTGATATCTTATCTTAAAATAGATAAATTTCTAATAGTTTTCATCAAATATTGATAGAATGTGCTTTTTCAGATGTGATAGATACAAAATTTTTGTAGTATTCCATGAACAGCGCACGGTTAATTTGTTTTTAGACGAAGTAATAAAGTTTTAACTGAATCCATTTTGTTTCTCTTTCTCAATAGTGGAGTATATAGATGAAGAGAAGAAGACCATTCACACTCACATACGACAAAAAGCAACAAAGGAAAAGTGTTCACGATTTATAACGAAAATATTAGAAGTGTCAACTTAGAATCTATTTTTCTGAAAAAAAAAGCTAATGAATGAATGGTTTCTCTGTAGCTGTGAGAAGATTTCTTCCTTAATTCTTCTTTCTCCCGAGCAAAACCTAACAAAAGTTATGGTCATTTCAGGCAAAATGGAATATACTTATCTTTTACTTGATTTTGATTCTGTACAAGGATTATTGTTCTGAACAAATTTTTCTACGATAGATATATGTAAAAAGGTTTGCTCTTTTAACTGACTATTAGTTAAAAATTAATGAACGAATATCTCTTTAATCATATGAGAAAAAAACCTGAAAACTTCTGGATAGACATATTCTGTTACAAGAGCACTTTTTGTGTTTACATATTCGTATTATGTCATATCGCTCACGAAAAATACATCGGTTTCTTTGGAAGATTTAGGCATACTAAGAAAAAGATTGGATAGAGATTTTGTAGCATCAAGAATTATTCACAAAATTTAGTAATTAACTTTCAAAAAATGCTGCCTCAATGCAAAGATTTTTTCAAACTAAAACACATGAAATGAAAGCCGATGTTCGTTTGGGTATCACGTCGCTAACACTAGTTTTTCACTGATAACTCACCTGTGAACAAAGGCCTAAGGTGCTATTTTTTTTGTGTATGTAGAGTAGCTCAACATAAATATAACTTATAAAAATTTGCTTTGAAAAAGTTCATTATATCGAGATACATGTGTTTTAATCTTGCGAAGACATGCCGATAGCGAACGATTTTGTGCATTCATGTAAAAAAAAAAAGGTCAAAAAATCAGATTAAAATTGATTTTCCGACAATAAACACAAAAACTTGATTGCATACATCACATTTTGATTACTTTCAACAAAATAATAGATTAAAATAGGTTTTTTCAGTGACAATCAATTAAAACCAATTTTTCAGCATAATCATCTGAATAATCTATTGGAAATCGAATCAGTTTTAATTGATTTCAATAATAATCTATTTTATGTAGAATAATCTAAATAATTGATTTTTTTATTCTAATCGGTTTCTACTATAATTATATCATCTCGATTTGAAGTGATTTATATAGGAGTTTCAACTTCACTACATTGGTATGACTTCGATTCAGTAGCAACTTTATAGTTTGCAAATAATGAACAATTCAAATAATCATGGAAAATTAGAGGTGCCGTGTTCGAATAACTACTTATCTTCAATATCTATGGTTAAAAGAGATTGAAAGGTAATAATAAACTAAAAGGTAATAATGAATAAAAAGGGTGAAAAAAAATCTGGTTATGATCATTTTCTTTGTAATTAAAAATCTATTATAATCTGATTGTTTCTATTTTTTTTTACATGGAATTCATTGTATACATTGCATCTGATGTTCAATTCAAATGATTAAATTATGCTACAGATTGTTGAATAGTTCAAATCTTTAATTTTACTCTGTACTTGTTTGAATTGTTTGATTGATGCAAACATAACTAGATTTTTTCTTTCGATTAAATTTGGAAAATGTGATACTTCGATTAGTGATACATTCTCATTTATACGACGAAATGAATCTTGTTGAAGTAATGATAATATTAGTTGTGGTTCATTTTTGATCATACATTCACTGAAATAGATTAAACTTAGACCATCCATACCCAACAAGATGCGAGCCATCTGTGGAAGATTGTTCTCAGAAAGCCATCTCTGTACATGCATATCTGTCCAATCTTGTACATGTTCAGGAAATGTTATTGGTTGTGATAATGATTGTATCAAACAAGAAGAAACATTCAATAATTCTACATTATTTAATTTTGGTTGAATAGATTTCGTTGAAATTTTATTACGCATATCAGTCATTTTGAATTCTTTCATTAACATATCAAGTGCTTTGAAATATTCATGTTTAGTAAAATCAACATACAGTAATGAACCTATTAGAAATGCAAGCCATCCATCAGGTTTGTAGTGTTTTTGCAAGAGAATTGGTACTATATTTAATTGTTTTTGAAATGCATATTGTGTTTCGGCTCGACAACAATTACTTCGTTGATATTGTTCACTCATACAGATCATAATAGTTCGAGATTGTTCAATAGCTTCTACCATTGCATCCATGAAACTGCCATACATCTGATCGAAATCGATCCATACTCAGTATCCGACTCGAACAAGTTCTTCATACAATTGTTTACATATTTGTTTGTCTTTACGTGAATAACTGATCATTATATCGAATTTTTTCTCATAGCTATTATCCGATGAACTGTTTTCCTCATCATTTATATTTAAATTCCAAAGAATACCATTCACAATTTTACGTACATTTTCATCGCTTGCTTGATCATCAATTTGAATTAATCTAGTTGTGAATGATTGGTTTGATTGAAGTTGTTTGACAATAAGTGGATTGAAGGAAAGAGCCCAAATAATATCGAATGCCATAGGATATTGGTCACATAATTGAATAAGTAATGATATTTTGTTAGAATCAGCTGTTCTTGTTTGAATAGTATCATTCGATGATAAGCGCAGGAAACCTATTATATATATATATATACTATGTTTATTTGTATAAAATATTCAATTAATTTATAGACTCTTCAAATAAGAAAACACCAGTAGAGACCGGTGTCGATTATTGATTTCAATGTGCAATTCATTCTATCATATACTGAATGAGCTAATATAAACATTCAAACGATTACTTTTTTCGATTTAGAAAAAAAAACGATAATAAAGAACTTTTGAGAGCAAATGATTGATTTAATAGAGTCATATTGATCTGAGACCGTGAGTGATTCCTATTTTCAAGAAATTAAGATTTGATTCCAACACAATATGAAACATTAGAGGACACGAAAATCTAATAAAAGGTTTAGCTGATATGGTGCCAACGTATAAGAAACGAAGCGGAATTTCACATGAATAAATGAAAGAATAGAATTCAAGTTTTCACTTGAGTTAAGAAATTCATGTTTATTAGAAGGCAATGTTTCGGATATCTTCTATAAACAAAACAAATTCGAATAAATATACCTTTTAATAAATGTGAAATCGTTATTCTTTTCCATTTTTTTGTTGGATGATTCTCTGCTTGTTCGAGAATACGAAAGAAAAATTCGCACATATTATTGCTGATTTTCAATACTTTCAATTGTTTATCAGAAAGAAATTCTGCCAAAAATCCGTAGGCACAAACACGAATTCGATCGTAGTGTGATGTTTGTGCTATGGACCAAAGCGTTGTAGTTAAATTTGTTTGTGAACTCATGAAACAGCCTAAATCATATGTTTCTATTATACCAAATAAAAAGGTTAAACTTGCATCCATGAGAACAGTTTCATCATTGTATGATTGAGCAGAAATACGTTGATGAAAAGGTTGATAACTAACAAGACGAATCAAAACAAAAATATGGTCGTATGTTGTGTCTTCAGATGGAACAATAAGTTGGACATGTTGAAGTTTTAGTCCATCTCGCCAACACGATGAATATATGAGACCGATGATATGTGCAACACAAGAAAGCAATTCACTACTCCATGAGTCCATAGTGTAACTATGCATAAGAATCATTTGTGAATAGTCTTCATTGAGAAATTTTATAATTTCTGCGCCAGTAAAAGAAAAATTTTGTGATTTCGACCATAAATACACATTCAACGAAAATGAACATGTTTTCAAATAAAAACGTTGTTTACCGGTAAACACAGATTGTGCAAGATTTGGTTGGCATAGTTATTTTAAATAGAATTTGTATTAAGCTGTGATTAAAAACTCGCTACTTAGTCGATTATTGACATGTAACAGTGTTGGTAAATGAACAATATCAGAAATTTGATGAACTAAATATGACAGAGTGTTAAACCACAAACCAGCAAGTGTTAGAAATGTATCATTGCTTGATTTGATTTGTTCAAGTATACCATCAATCCAATTAATATTCGATGGAATCAAAAGCGATATTTTTGTATCAGACTGAATTCCATCATTATTCGAAATTAATTTAACATTAAACGATTGGAGTACATGAAAGAATTTGACGCAATTATCTAAATTGATCGATCGTTGTGAATATTTACTGAGCATTTGCCATGTCCAATGTTCGATAACGACTAAGGATTTTAATGATGCTGAGACAAACGATGATATTGTTTGAGAGGTTTGTTTTTCAAAAATATCTGGCATATTTATTATCAAATTAGTGGACCAAGATGAATTAAGAAGTTCAGAAACAAGTTGATCGAGATTGTTTTCCGTCATCTTGTGTTTTAGACAACACATCAGAAGGTTGTGAAGAAACACGTGTGATTTAGTTAATTAATCAAGTAGTAAAAGGTGAAGCGTGAAAGAAAGGCAACCCAGCTGAATTATGCTTGATCATAAACGGCTATGTACCAATTATTTACGACAGAAAACGATAAACATTAACCGTGATCAAATATAACCATCGTAAATGAGGCTTTGGGGGTGCATCACGCCCATCGTTAGCGATGATCATAAAAAATCGTCTTAAACGACTAGTATAACAATAAGATGACTGTAAACGACGCCCGGATAATATCTTTAAGCATCGTGTGCACAAATTGCATACGATTTATTTGACGATAGTCGTTTTCTTCTTTATTATTAGCATTCCTAAGCTCTATGACCATGCCCTTCCTAAAGAGACAATCAGGCTCTAAGAGGACAAAAGAACAGAAGTGTGAAGCAACAAATATGGTATGAAGAGAGAAAAAGAACAAAATCAATAAAATAATTGTGGAGATATCATGTTTCAGAGAGATGAGTAATACGTATACATACATATATCAGTGGTGGATCTAGGATTTTTATGATATGGAACAATCATGTTCATAAAACGTGTTTTGAAGCTCATTCGAAGTAGTATCAAATCATTTTTTAACCATTGCTGCTGAGAAAAAACAAAAATTGTTTTTTTTTTTGGAATGGGTGCGATTACCTCCAGCGCCACGCATCCCAAATCCGCCATTGACATATATATGTAGTTTTTCTTTGTTTCCTCTCGTTCTTGTATCTTCTTGAGATACACCTGATACAGTTGAACGTTACATTAGACACAAAGATCAATCAAAGTAGACCATCTATGATTCGTCAAATCATTATCGATTATTCAAGAAACACTACATGCGAGTATATGCTGACTTTCAAAAACTTCATACCACATTGACCAAACATGTTCTACACTCTCCCTCGGACAAAAAAAACGGCCTTTTTCCATTTCATTTTTGCATCACTTAATACGTTGTTTTAAAAAAACAAAATATACCAGGAGATGCAGCGTGAAAAGAACTATAATTTACAAAGTAAATCTTATTTTAATTCTGTACTTTTTGTTTTGAAAAAAAGCAAAATTGTGTGCGACCAATTTTCGACGCTGCGAAAAAATCATTTTTTCTGATCTCATCTTATCTCATCTTTTTATCACCTAATCTGCTTTTGTAAAAAAAAATAAAATGTACNAAAACGTTTCTAAGCTCGAAATTCTCAATAATAATGGATCGAGATTTATCTCTCATTATAATTAGTAATAACAATCTCCAAAATAGTTTTGTAATTCTACAAAAAAAAACAAACTTTAGTATTTATTATAATGACAGAATAATGAAGAAGAGAGCGTAAATGAGACTAAGATTAAGAACTGATTTGATTTTGGTATTTCTCTAGAACAATACTGTGAAAGCTTAAAAAACTATGATGTAAGGTATCTATATTTTTCTTCTACTAGAGAAGAAATCTCCTCTGTTACCTCATCCGAATTAAATGTTTTTTTTTGTCTATAGATGTTAGATTGTATTCTAGTGAAAACTCTTAAAAAATTTGAGTTTTTATTGAGATTTGACGAAGTTATTGAATTTTTAATATGTATATTTATCAGAGTCCTGCGTAAGGCTCGAGGTGTTCTGAAAATTTGTGTTTTGTGAATTATTTTCTTGAAATTACCTCTATTTGAACGTCGCACATATAATAAGTGGTGAAATTTTCAAAAATAGACGCTTTTCGAAGTTTAGACAATAATCCAAGAATATTTTGAAAAGTTCATATCTCGGAAATACAAAGTTTATAAGCTTCGAAACTCTTCATATAAAATACTGCATTTGATTCTTCCAAGTAGAAACAATTTTTAGAAAAAAATTTAAAAACATAACTTTTCCAAAAATCTGGAGTCCCACACGAACCTTTGATAATAGACATTTAAAAAATTCAATAGCTACATCAAGTCTTAATAGGAACTGAAATATTTTTAAAATTCTCAATAGAATACTATGTAATATTTATAAACAAATAATCATTGAAATCGGATGGCGACATTTGAAGAGGTTTCCTCTTACGTAAGATATAATTAGGAGCACTTTGATTACAACAAGCAGAGAACAGACCGCATAATCAAACTTGATCCAGTTTCAGTAGTAATATTCATTGATTCCAAATTTTATTTTAGCTTTGACTTGTTCGAAAATCAGTTTTAGTTTTCGTCAATCTTAAGATTTGTATTTGTTCTAATTGATTTCAAATCTACTTTTTGTGGTAATCTAGACGAGTTGTGATTGTGATAAAAGTCGTTCTTAATTCATGCTTCAACCTTAGCAATTTTCGATGTCAATTTATTTTAGTTATAATCATCCTCTATTCGACACATATCTAGTGTATTCCGATGTTGCCAATTCGAGAATGAGAATTGAACATTTTTTGTGCTCATGTGTATTGTTATTTTAAAAAGATTATATTTCGATTAGCTAGTCCTTTGGTTCATATGTTTCATTAAAAAAATTCGTTCTCTGAACTGTATGAATCATGTGAACATTGACTGATAGCCGCAATCATAGACAATTTACTATTGAAATTTTGTCTTGATTTATAATAAATAATCAGTCATCATAGTATTATTGCTGTGTAGAAAAAACATTCTATCTCATATATGTGTACTTTTGATAAAGGATCTGACTACAGTGATTCCATTACATTTGAATTCATATTTTGGTAATAAAGAGATTGCTTTTAGATCTGAATAATCTCAAACAAGCACGATTCTGATTTAAGGTGAAAATTTTTTTATTCAGTTATGCTTTCAATATCCGATTGTTTGGTAAAAATCCAATGAAGCTATCGTAATTCTATAGAGAGAGCCTATAGACTAGAATATTTTTAAAGATTATTCTAATTTTCAGCTCCTCTCTATATCTCATAAATATGAGTACAAAAGTATGGAATCATATCGAACGTTTTCTACGTCCGTAACTGTGATTAGGTTCAATTAAAAATCAAAATTAAGCACATTATGATAATATTAATGAGAACCTGAACTGTAACAATGTAAACAAGATTGGATACTTCTTCAGATCAACGACACTCCTACACGCAGTGTTTCTAATAGAAATCTAAAATTCCATGTACAGTACACTCTGTTTTATATGGGCAAAGCGTATATGTACACTTGCTGTTGGTAAGCAAAATGTACCATATTGTACTAAGTCATGTTTTCATGTAGTATTAAAAAATTAAAAAATACCCATATCTTATTTCCTGCGTAAAAAGATACATCAATATTAAATCAATAAGTTTTGTATACTGATGCTATTTCGATATGCATTACTTACATGCCTTCTTATAAAGACAGTCTTCTACTTTCATTCATTTATTATTATAATATGAGTATATAAAAAGAATACCTAGGTCGCGACAAATAGATCGAATCAAAATGACAGACAGGCAAGCTGAAGTAGTTCATATTCTGCCATAGACAGGCCAGGTCTATGAAAAGTAGGTCTATTTTGAACTTCTATTAGTCAGAGATGTGAGAAGAACTAACAAAAACTTTACTAGGTAGTCTTTTATCATATTTTGAGCTAAAATAGGGAAATGTCGTTTATCTTATTATGTTCTTGAACAACTTAACCCTTTGGTTACAGAATCCATATATTAGGAATCTGAAAAAAATGATTTTTTTTCAGTCCAGGTCCCGATCCTGCTTCTAGCTAAAACCAGAGGTGCAGAATCTACCCGTGTGCGCGTACGGCCGTGTGGGGAAAATTTTCGATTCATAGGAGAATTTTGGGGAAATAGCTGGGGGAAGACACTATCGTGCAGGGAAATTTTTTAAGATCACGGCAGATTCTACACCTCTGGCTAAAACTTTCTGTTTTCACATCTATCAAAACTCAGAATCAGTTTTTCTCCAGGTTATACACGCCGTTCGTGCATGTCAGCTAGCATAGCACTATTCGAAGGTGAAAAGAATCTTTGTTATCTGAAGAGATATCTCAGGATCTGCAAGATTAGGATTTCTATTTTTTATGGCTAGTTCTGGAATTTTCTCTCAAGATTAAGCTGAAGTTTTATTTTTTTTTTCTATTCTCAACAAGTAGTACGGTTTTTCTCAAATATACATGCGTACAACAACAAAATTAAGTAATTCGCAGTAAAAATAGCGGAACAATGGTAAAATATTGTACAAATAAGGAGATGTGTAAACTGCTTTTAAATCAAATTTATGTATGTTATATTTTACTACTTAAAAATCTGCTCATGTTTCGAAAAAAAACTCAATTCTTAGTAACAGAATCGTTATCTGTAAAAGACTTGTATCAGATTAGGAAACAAAAACAGTCGATTTACAAATTTTTAATTAAAACACAGTAAAAATGATGCAAATAAATAGTACACTACTTGATGAAAATAAGCTGACCGCGACCAACCTGAAAAAGTTTTAGTCCCGGTTCCGGTCCTAGTTTCACCGTGACCAGGATCGGGACCACTTTACAGATCCTTATTGCATATATATGGGCTGAGTTTTTGCTTAGACTACATCTCGTACAGTTTTGACTTTTTCACTTTAGTAGAGTTCTGCAAGAGCATGACTTTTCATGCGATATTCTATGCGATGATTTCTTTTGTAACCTTGTCCTAGCCTATCATTGAGAGATCGTACTTAGAGGTGTAATCAAAGCTTGACAGTCTTAAGGCATACTACAGTGCATCACAGAACGCTCCTGAGACAAAAAACTTCATCCCTGAGGTACTCTTCTCGAATGTCACCATGATCGTTACGTCAATAGTCGTACACTATCCCCATCCTGTTCTACTCTAGTTGTATCCTAAGCACTACCACAGGGTAGGGTAGGATAGAGTAGAACTACCCTGCATGAATCTACTTTTTAATTAGATCATAAAAATGCTTTGGCATTATCAGTATCACAGCGTCATTGTCTAGTACTACCATGTATGTATGCATTCTGTTTGAA